TGAAACACCAGGATGCTGACTGACATTTGAACCCCTGTGCACAGCTGCCCAGCCTCACCAGACGCCAAAGGCCCGCAGGAAACAAAACCGCAAATAACATCAGGGACAACAACGCTTTCTAAAGCGAGGGTTCACGTGCTCTCTCCTGGGAATGCCAGTTACTTTCCAAGAGACGTGAGTTCTCACAGTGATTGGAGCAAAGATTGGGGAAGAGTCAGTGGGACGAGATTTGGGCTTCATTGACGTCCAAATGCAGCAGTGTCTGCTGCAATATTCCCTCAGCAACCCTTGTTCTGCTGTTGCTCTGAGCCTACAGAGTGGCATAGCTATTGTGTGTGTATGTGTGTGTGTGTGTGTGTGTGTATGAGAGAGAGAGAGAGAGAGGGAGAGAGAGATATGAAGGGGTCTCCCTGACTGGTCCCTTGTCTTGCTTCCCTAGGCTGCGTATTCCCTGTTAACGCCAGCGATGCTTAAAGCTTAGATCTTCCCAGAGACCCTCTGTGCAGGCCATAGATCAGAGTTCTTATGAGAAAAGCCAGTGGCCAGGGGACACCCAGTTTTCAATCCTGGTAGGACATGACTATTTCCCTAAGAGAGCAAAGCACTTGAGTAACAGTCATAAAACCAATACAATGAAATATTCAAGCTGCATAGTGCTTTACCATTTTCAAAGCCCTTATTCATCTCCAAGAAACCCCGCGGAGAAGCTTTTCAAATTATATTCTTACTAGAGGCCCAGTGCACGAAATCGTGCACGGGTAGGGGCCCTGGTGGCTGCCTGCTGGGGCCTCCCTCCATTCTGTGCTGCCCCCCGATGGTCAGCACATGTTTGATCGAACTCCTGAGCCAGACAATTTGCACATTAGGCTTATATATATGATCCCTCTTATGCAGGTGAGGTCACCATGGTGTAGAAAGAGCGAGTGATAGACCAGAGGCAACGCAGCAGGTTATTGGCAAAATGATCCATGTGCCCAGCATGTGGCACATGGAAGGCACGTGGCCCCGTCAATACTCAATGAACGAATCCATGAAGAACCAAACCCATAAGCTGGAACTCACACCGTCCCTGCAGTGCGAGTCGTGCGCTCGCTGCACTCCCCCTTGTGAACTCCGCAGCCGCCACGCCTGAGGCAGCGGTGCACTGGTTCACGCCAGGGTTAGCTGGGCTTAAGCGTTCAGCTCTCACTTCTTTGTTCTGCAGATGTGAAGTTTATGTCTTGAAATTCCAGGAAGGAAAATAATGGCATTTTATTTCACTGGCTCTTTAAAATAGGGTCTGTTCCAAAAGGTTGAATCTATAAACATTACTGGAAATGAGGGGATGGATGCCAGGAATTCCTCAGCTTCGTGTCGGCTTGGGCCAGGATATGGCTGCCGCTCCTGTAGCTTACGGGTTGAGAAATATTGCTATTGGACACTTGTTGGAAATTTTAAGCCCCTTGAAAATATGACTCCATTAGGAGAACCTTGTCAAGAGACACACGGGCAGCATTTCAGTTTTTCTATCGATCCCTCCTTTGTGCTGTGGCCAGAAGCCCTACCGCTGAGCACTCCCAGTATTTTCCTGGTTCTCCAACCGCGAGTTGGAGTAATCTCTGGGGTATCTAGAAATTTCCTGAAATTGTCCTCGCATGAAATGGGTCACGGGGTTAAAAAGGCCAACAGAAAAGACAACCGGGTCTGGGTTTTGATACTTCCAGCAATGAAGTGCAGGTCATCTCAGTTACGGGGGGAGGTATAAAGCACCCTTGATCGGCACATCACGTGTTCCTAGGGGGTCAGCGCGAAGGCTGATGAATGAGCTGCTTGTATGGTTCTTTCTTCGCCTGCCCTCTTTCCCTGAGAATCAGCACGGAGCTTTTCACCTGAATCGGACTTTTCAGAAGGTATGCTAAAGGACTGCAAGCCGATGGCCCCTCTCCACCTTGCTTAGTTTCCTTGGATGACGATAACAATGATGACGACAAGAACAATGACTATGTCACACACGTGGCAAGGCAAGGGTAAAGAAACCTGTGGGGGCGGTCATCAATTTAGTAAAAGCTTCATGCATGCTCTCCACCCCCCCCCCCCAAAAAAAAAAATAACATGATGGAACATAAAATAAACTGACAAAGACTTTCCTGAATTAACTCGAGGTGCTAATTACACCGTTTGATTTTATCCACACTGCATGATCCAAGAGAAATGATTGCTTATGCTTAATGTGTCTGGAAGGAAGAGTGAACCGGGGGCGGGAGAGGGAGAGGAAAGATAAACCCGAGGGTGTGAAAGACGGTGCTAATCTTGCTTTTCTAGATTGGCGACTTCTAGGTCACTGCTTGGGACTGTGATGTCTGAACGCATTTTCGTGGTTAAGGAAAGGTACAAGTGTGGGATCCCAGAGCTCCCTGCTGGCTCCGACTGCTTCCTGTGGAATAAAGCAATTCACGTTTTCTTGGCAAAGGGGAGCTATTCAGTGCGCGGAACGACAAGGCTCCTGAAATGCACATCTAAGGTCTCTGGCCACATGAGAAATTATTTTCTATTTCACTTTTATATGTTTTAGAAAATGAATTCTAAGAAAAAGCTCAGTCCTTTGACCAGAGTACATACAGGTTCTTAAATGTGTACCCAGAGCAGATTTAATGTCCGGTGGAGACTGGCTGAGATGCTCGCAGCTACTGTACTCAGTGCCTAATGACGATCGTGACTTTCACACAGCTGGGAACATCGTGCTGCCCGGCCTCACAGTCATTGCCAGGGCAACACCACACATGCCTGATCTTCAGGCCTGATTGTGGAGAAGGGTGTGGTGGGCTTGAACAGAGAACCACGGGGCTGAGGGCTGGAAGGGAGCAGCCTCGGTGAAGACACAACGTTCCTAAATTGCCTGCCCTTGGCTGACAGATGCTCCCGGCTGGCTGGTGTGCAAGTCTGGAACTTGCAGGAGCAGGCTGGGAAGATGGTTCTGCTTGCCAAAACCCGAGCAAGCAGGAAGCTAGCAGGCAGAGTTAAGGGATGGGGTGCATTTCGTTCACCGACTTAAATCCCCTGCCTCCTTTGTGACAATCAGCTGGGCCCGGGAAGGGTTGCTTGATTGCTTCAGCCTGGGGCTGGATTACAGAGCAAATCTGTTGCCTCAACAGCGCCCTTTCAACTCACCTTTACACAGACCCTTCCCTTTAACAATCAGTCTAGACCAGTGGTTTTCAAAGTGTGGTCCTGGTTCAGCAGCAGCGCTGGGAACTTGGAAGAAGTGTAAATTCTTAGGTCCCACCCCAACCTGCTGAATCCAAAACTCTGGAGGTGGGCCAGTGAGTTCTCCAGGGACCCTGGTGCTCGTTAAAGTCTGAGCGCAACTGCCTTAGACCAAGCCGACCAGTGAGCCACGGTCACCAGAACAGATGCAACAGAGCTAGTTCCACAAGAGAGGGGGGAGACAGGGAGAGATCTAATGAAGGGGTGGCATCCACTCTACTGAGGGCCACCTGTATGCAACCAACGTGCTTCCATCTGTAGCCCAAATGGGGTAAGAGTCTCGAAGGAAAGAGAAACAGCAGGAGCGAACGTGGCCAAGTTCCTAAGAGCTTTGTGGTCTTTAGAAAGAAGCTGACAAGGCAGGAAAACCTCTCACAATGGGGCAGGGAGGTGAGTGGTGGCTGCCCACCCAGAGGGAGGAGCTGCTGTTCCGCTCTGTTTCGTACACGTCTTCTGATCCCATTCGAAGCTTCACCATCATTCCAGAGGCTTGGAGAGAATGGAGAGTGGAGGAGGGTGTGAGAGAGGAGAGTTGGGGCTGAAGGAGGCCCCTCCCTGGGTTCAGCAGAGAGAACTATTCCATTACTGAGAATCATGCAGAGGTAGAAGGTTCCTAACAGTCATGACCACCATGAGATAATGATTGTATCACCATCAGCACCACCACCATCAGCACCATCACCATCATCAGTCACCATCTCCACCATCACCATCATTCACCACCATTACCATCAATCACCACCATCACCATCATCACCAATCACCACCATCACCATCAATCACCACCATCAATCACCACCACCATCACCATCACCATCACCACTATCACCATTACATCAAGCTGCAGTTGGCTGAGCAGCTTCCCACATGTCTAGTATCAGGCTAGACATTTTGTATATAATTTCTAGTCCTCTCAACAACTCTGCAAGCTCGGTGGTATTACATCCGTGTACAGATGAGGAAAACAAAGCTCAAAGAGGGGCAGCAGCAGGTCCAATATTAAATAAGCAATAGGGGTTGAAATAGGATTCTCATCCTTCTCTGGTATTTGACAATACAACTGGACGTTTTTGGTTTACTGGTTCCGTTACTTACCCCCTGGCAGAGTTCACTCACTTGTCTTGAAATTGGCCTAACCCCCTTTCCACACTGATAACTCTTTGAATATTTACACCAAGCATGCCAAACTCAAAGGCTAACACGGGCCAAATAAAAAAGGCATTCGGCCTGTGGGCGGTGAGTTTGACATGCTTAATCTACACAGTTTCAGGAATCTTCCCTTCCTCAGGTCCAAAGCCTGGCTTTCTTTTTACTACTCTTCATTTTTTTGTTCTAGAAAGGCAGGAAGGCTCTCATTTTAAAACCCTAATGAGCTGATTCACAAACTTCTACTTCTCATAGAATTCTGGGGTGTTATTCTCAACATTCCTGATGACTCTTCGAACTACCTTATTTATGTAACTGCAGGCACAGACATAAACCAAAACCCCATTGTTCCCCAGCCGTGCCAGAGAGCAGGAACGGTTATGGAGGGATTGAATCTCTGGGCGGATAGGGACCCTTGTTCTGATGTTTCTAAGATGCACCCACTCTGCAGAACGAGTTGTGTGCCATCAGGTTGGTCGTACTTTCAAAAATGCCAACCAAGGGCTGCAGGGTGGTGGGTGCTGAGACCATTGTGTGGCTGGAGACCTGTGGACCCTGGTGTGACCGATGGAGAGGAGGTGCAGCCTCCCCCACAGAGGGCAGAATCTTACCCTGCGACACCCTGGTCCGGGACCTTGAGGAAATCCAAGCTCTCTGGCATCTGCGACAGGCGGTCTGAGCCCGTGGACTGCTGTCGGGGCAGGGGGGGTCGGGCCATGGAGGTGTACAGGCTTTTCTGATTTGACCGCTGGTTTCCGGGAGCATGCGGGTGTGGCGCAAACTGGTTTTTGATGACTCCGTTCTGATGGTATCCTAGAAAGAGGACACAATGAGCCTTCGATTTTACGATCCTTTGCCAAAAGTCTCTCCAGGTTCCTACCATTTATTAAGCAAGTTACTTCACATCACCAGGCCTCAGGGCCACAAGCAGCGCCGTTGGGAGTACGCCTGGCACTGAAGTGGCTCAGGCTGTCTGATTACCTGCATTTATCTGCTCCTGGGTTTCTTCCCGTTATGTTTTGTAAGCTATGGGTTCAGGTGAGTGGTCCCAGTCCGTGGCACTGGCCTGGCTTACCTGGCGGGGGAGGGGCAGCTCTCATCGGGTAGTTGGCATTGTGAGTCTGACCGGAATAACCTCTGTTTTGGCTCATGTTCCTCCGGGTGGGACCTGAAATAAACACGCAGGACGACGTCACAATCAGTACAGCTCATTGGTTTCCTGGCTCCTGGTGGCTTCTTGCTTGTGCGAAACTTGGGAGACCCTGGAATGCAGATCTGGGTCGGCTCTGCAGGAGGCTGGCCGCAGCGGAGGAGAGACATTTGGGGGAAATACTGTCCCGGTAGCTGCTGGCTGGGCGGGGCTGGAGGATATGTGGATGGAGGAACGGTTTTGAAATGCTAGCTAGAGACAATAACTGTACAAAGAGTTATTAATAATCTTACAAAGGTGTTCCAATTTGTGTAGACTTTTCAAGAGACAGGAGGGAGATTTTCATGCTTGCACTCATGTCCTGAATACAGCCCAGGAGCTGAACATGCAAATGCTACACGGCAAGGCCACGGGCGTGAGGCACATTTCGGCACCGATGGCACATCTGCTTATGTTGAGCCTTTTATGCAAGAGTTTGTGTTCCACAGTCTTTCAGGGAAATAGAGGCCCCGGAGGATGGGAGCAGACTTGGACCCTGGACAGAGCCTGAGGAGCCTGAAAGGAGCCAGTGCTAATGGACGATCACTGCCGGCCAGAATCAGGGCTGGGACGGCAGGGCCCCAGTGGCCAGCTGGGACACGCGCCAGAGAGGGAACCGATAACGAGGGTCTCAAGGGGGGAGCTGGAGAGGGTGTGGAGGGAAGCCCCTGCAGGGAGGAGGCAGGCAGCGACGAGGCGCGAGCAGCACAAAGGAGTGATCCTGGGGCCTGGGGCAAAGTCACCCTTTTAGACAACGTTCCACACTGAGCCTCCGGAACCCTGTGCACACATCCTGCGGGCATCGGCTGCCTCCTTTGCCATGCCCTGGGCCTGGCACCTGAGCCCAGTGGACCCTTCACCTGGGCTGCCAGGCCTCTGCTTCCAGTTGGGTTGGGCATTGGCGGGAAGCTGCAGTGCCCGGTGAGAGGGAAGTTGGGGTATCTATCCTGCAGCTTCCTGCCTGCAGCCTGCAGCCCAGCTCTTTCCTCCCCCGTCCCACAGGCTCCGCGGGATGCCAGGGTCCCCACTTTGTTCCCTCAGCCTGCCCACCTCTCTGTAAAGTGTCCTTCTACTCAAAAGGACCTTCATGGGGGAGAGGGGAAGGACAGAGGTTTATGGGGGGAAAAGGAGGACCTACGTAATATTTTTAACAATGAAGACTTAAAAAAAAGAAGCGCATCCCCAGTGGGGGGTGTGCAGGAGGCAGCTGGTCGATGTTTCTCTCTCATCGATGTTTCTAGCTCTCTATCCCTCTCTCTTCCTCTCTGTGAAAAATCAATAAAAAAAAAAAAAAAGAAGTGCCTTTAATAACCCCCCTAAATATGTGGTCCGTTTTCTGCAAGTACTGAGTAATACACAGACATTCACCAACAATTTCTGATTGGCTGTTTATCTATATTGATCTGTCCTCATAGTGCATGCCAGAGCCTGTTAAATGGATTTCATAAAGGCCTATCTTATATCTGGCATACTCTTCATTGACTATATATATATATATATATATATATATATATATGGACTAAATTTTATAGAGATACCTCTGTCTGCAAATATGTAGCACATATGATTATGCTATGCTGTGTATTATAAATATAATAAATATTATAAATATGACTTATAAATAGAAAAGGACTCAAAGGCCGGTGAAGGGGCGAGCCCGGGGTGTGTGGGCACATGCGTGTTGCCCAATGCCGAGCTCTGAATGGAGGTGGGAGGTGCTAGATGTGACGCACAGGGACAGCGAGTCCCCGTAGGGAGTGGTGAATGTGGCCAATTTCTTTAAAATGGACAGAAAGGATACAATTTGCATTGTTGACACCATCTGACTAGAAAGGGCTGGGAAATTTTAAGCCAGCAAACTGATTGGTTTTCGACACAATATTGTGGTGCCAGGAATACCAGGCATAACCACCAGACCATTCAAAAAGGCCGAACTGCATTTGCCTTGATGTTGGTTTAGTCTGAGATGTCTGAGTCAGAGGAAAACCGGGCGCAGGAGGCAGGAGAGGTGCTGGGTCACTGCCCCGCAGATCTGCGCACCTACCACGAGCGCTGGGTGAGAAGAAAGACATGGTGCGGGGCAGAGGAGGGGTGGGGGGCTCGGGGGAGCCGGGAGCCCAGCCCAGGTGCTCGGGCCCGCAGACACTTACGGGAGTTCTTGGGCAGCCCGGGTCCGATGCTGACCTGCAGCACTTTGTTGCTGGGCTTGAGGATGGCCAGGTCCCCAAAGCCCTGGTGGAACTGCACCTGCCTGGAGCCTCCGGCACTCCAGGGGCCCCAGTTCTCTTTTTTCAACTTGACTTCAAGCCTGCGAGAAGCATATGGGTTGGAGTTAAGACAGAATGAAGCAGAGAGAAAATGCAGCTCACCCTTCCCCAGCATAGAGTTCGGCTGCTGGGCGAACCTGCTGTCAAACAAGGCCAGACCGGGACCTGCAAACCAGCACCAGGCCTGGGGGATGCGTGTGACGGCCCCGATTTGGCACGAGAGTGAGCGCAGCGGCCAGCGGCAGAGCCTGTGGGGCCCGGCACCTGTAAGGACCAGGTGGTGAGGAGGCACCAATGTCTCTCCGCGGTGGACTCAGGTGGGACTGCCCGGGGACAGTGGTGCGTCCTGGTGCCCCTCTCCTATTTCCCTGGTCTGGGAGTGGAGGATGGGGAGCTGCCAGACACACATTAGCCCAGGTCTTCCTGAGCATATAATATGGTTATTATTTCCTTAGGTTCTAGTCCATCACCATTACCCCTCTCCAGACAGAGAGAAAGATAGCGCTCAGCAACCAAAATCCAAGTAGCAGAGAGGTTTCCTCACAACTCCAAACCCCCAGCCAGTTTTTATTTTTCATATTGCCTCTATGCTCACACAATTCCATTCCATAGTCTGCTTTTTAAAAACCCTATTTTTCATGTTGTTGGGCCAAAAAAAATCATAATTTTAAGTAGCTGTCTATTTTTCTATTGAGTGGCTTGGCTCTTCCTAGTCTCCCTTTCTTGTTATTCCCTTATTGCAAATTCCCAGAAAAAAATAACTGCCCTTGGTCCGAGTGGCCAAATGGTTCCTTGGAGAAGCTGCAAAGAATCCATACAATTACCAGGATCTATTTCAATGCAACCACAACAGCGTCAATCACGGTAAGTTTCCCTCATCATGGAATGAAGGCTTTACTTTGGAATTCTTGTGGGTAGTAAGAGAGATCTCCATTGATAGATGGAAATTTAAGAAAAAAAAATATCACTCTTACCTGACAAATTAAGATTAGTAGCTTGACAGTATTCCAGGACCTGGCCCACGAGGCCATGTTGTTACAGCAAAGGCAGGTGAGCCAAGACCCACGGCTCGGGCCCTCTCCCCCCACCCCCACAGGCATTATGCATTGATTTTGGGAAATAAGCTCCCACTCTGTTCACTTTCTCTTTCTTCCAATCTTACTCTACTCTGCTAAATAAAAGTATTTTTTTTATTGATGATATAAAAAAAAAATCTGCCTTTTCCTGCAGATGTTTGTCCAAATGGCAAAATACACCCTTTGGTGAAGTCATTGTTTCACAGAAACACAAAAGTGACCTTTTCAAAGTCTATGGCAGCCAACAGACTGTAATCTGCAGCCCTACGATTCCAGAAAGTGGGGAGCAGGGGCGGGGGTGGGTGGGAGATGGGGGGAAGCTAAGGCAGCCAGCGGGGAAGTCCTCCCCACAGCCCTCCCCTCCTCTCAGCCTGGACCTGGGCAGTGAGCTCAGGGCCCCAGGCCCCAACTTACGTGTTGCTAAATTTCAGAGGTAGTTGTCTCTGCGTTTTTTCCTCGTAACGCTTTGCTAAGAGGCTTAAGAATTCAGTTTTGAAGACGGATTCAAGCAAACTGTCATACTCTTGCTCGTGAACAATAAAAATGTCATCTTGCATGGTGCTGCAGAAATGAGAAAGAAAAGTTGCACTTTTGTTTACCCATCCTTTTCTCACTCATTTTTTTGGTTCTGTAAGACAGCCCCAGGTTTCTAGCCTTTCTTCCTGTAAGGGATAATCTTTACAAGAAAACACAACAAGGAATTACATAACGGAGCCGCTGAAAGCTGCTGGGAGGAAGTGTACAGCCCACCCACAGCATCCACAGAAGCCCTTCTCCCACATCACGGCTAAAAGCAGAACTTTAAGAACGATTTATTCTTTAAAAAAAAAAATCCATTTAGTCTTTCTTAAAAATCCATTTTCAAACTCCATTTCTATGTTCTTAAGATCTTGTAAATCCAGAATGCGACTGAGTAGAACGGGCTGGGAATGAACCGTCCTACATAGATCCCGAGCTAGTAGAGCTGATGGCATGGTTGCAGCTACTGTGATAAATCCTAATTTGAAGAACTGGAAGCTCAGTTACCAAAAGGGAGGCCGACATTCTGGGCTTCGAATACACTCATCATTAGGAGTCTTTGGGTCCTCAGTGCTCAGCTCATTTCGCCTGCCAGGTGCTGCTGAAGGTGCGCACACCGCAGGGCAGACACACAGCAAGCCCGACAGCAGCAAGCCCGAGCGTCGTGTGCCACTCGGTGCATTTCCTGGCTCAGGGAAAGCACATCTTTGCGGGAAATGCACGTTTGGAAAGGGTACGGCTAGGGGGACAAACATGCCTGGAGGGGCGATGGAAGGAAGAGGCTGAGGGCAACCCAGTCCTGGGGAAAATACCCAGCGGCAACGGGGAATCACTTATACATACAGTGACGTCTCCCAGCCAGCTAGACTCTGGAAATTACAATGCGCACGCCATTGGGGGTTTCCCCCTGCTGTTAGGTGATCTGGCCCAGATGAAAGAGGCTACCACCCCAAAGGCTTTATAATGTACAGGTTTACAATGACCTCCGAGCACCACTGTCCACTAGTGAAGTCAACCCTCTAACATGACATTTTCTTGGCCATGGTACCGTTAAGCGTTTTTCTAGGCGTTCAAAGCAAAGTAAGCGAACCCTCTTGATGAATTGACCACACACAAATTTTAATCCCTTCTCATGCAAGAAATGCCAGCAACATGGCTCTTTAGGAAGCAGAGCCCAGGGGTGTCACTCAGGAGCTGTGCCCTGCTCTCAGTGCCCCTGGTACCACGGTCCAGTGGGATTGTGGTCTGTGACAAAGCCAGAGTGCAGGGCCAGCAAGGAGGGCCGGAGTGTGGAGAATCTGAGATGAGGGATCCTTCTTTCATGTAGAATCTGATCCATTTAAACTGCAACTCATGAGGTCTCTCTGTTCAGTCCCATGAATAACAGGTCGGGGTGGGCAGTTTGTGAGACCAGGGGTCTTCCTTGGGCAGAGAGGGCCTTATTGGGCTATTCCAGGCTTGTCAGAAATGTTCTCTTTCTGGGCGGGAAGCTCAGGACCCAAACCGATAGCCTCTTTCCCGTACACCTCAGCCCCAGCCTCCCTACAGGAAGGAGCTTGGTAATCCACAGGAGAAGAGGTCCAGGGCAGCACCACAACACAGCTGTAAACCAACCACAGGAGGGTGGGGCACACGAGCAGTAAGATACCATCACCTGGAGAAGGAGCTGGCCCCTAGCTTGTTCATTGAAGACAAATACCCCAAGGAGTCATCCCTGGATGTGAAGTCAGAATACTTCCAGGCATTTTAGGACGTGTAATGGCCACTTGGTAGAGCACCTGGTCACCATCATTTCCTCAGGAGTTTGTTTTCAAACATTCCCACATCACAGTCAGACTTCCTCACTCTTGAGAGAGTTGGGAAAGAGGTTTTTCTGTTGTGTTGAGGACCCTGACAACCAGTGGTTTCAACAACAGGTACAGCTTTTGCATCTGTCACTCAACAGCATATGTAAAATCAACACCAGGGCCAATACGACAGCTATACAGTACAGGGAGCCCCGCATATTTCCATTCCTTCCCTTTATAGAAATAACTAAGTAGTGGTATAATCACTTCTCATACCACCCTAGCTAGCACTGTCACATGGCTACACCTAGCTGCAAGGGAGCTTGGGAAATGTAGTCCTTAGGTAGGTTGCCAGCCATTAATAGGTGGAGGAGAGAATGGATATTACAGGACAATGGACAATCTCCACTCTACCTTCTGGTTCCTAAACTAGGAATTAGAAACTTTTCTTAAAGTTTGAGAATAATATACCTCAAAGAGTTGAGGCTACAAAGCTACTATCCTCTTCCTATTTTTATTTAAAAAAAATATATATTTTATTGATTTTTTTACAGAGAGGAAGAGAAAGGGATAGAGCTAGAAACATTGATGAGAGAGAAACATCCATGAGCTGCCTTTTGCACATCTACTGGGGATGTGCCAGCAAACAAGGTTCATGCCCTTGATCGGAATTGAACCTGGGACCTTTCAATTCGCAGACCGATGCTCTATCCACTGAGCCAAACCAGTTAGGGCCATCTTCCTATTTTTAGAAAAATTCTGGGATTGTCTTAATTCAAAAATCCAAAGGACACTTAGATAAAAGCTGCTCAAAACAGCTCTCCCATTCCTTTCGAATTGATGAAATGAAGTCCGAGCATCCTAGCACAAGAGTGAGAGACAGCTGCGTTAGAAAGGGAGTGTACCCAACGGGGAAGAGTGAAACAGGAAGCACCACCTTCTGGCACGTGGGGTGAGGTATGGCACTCCTGTTGAGGTGACTGCACTCAAAACATTCTTTGACTTGTCCAGACGTGTCTGTCTGCCTGGCTGTACTGTAGGTGGGATTGATTATTCAGCGGGGCTAAATGAGCCCAATTTAAGTAATCCTGAGTTTAATGTGCTTAGATTTACTACTATAAAGAAAAAGAAAAAAAGCAAGCAGGCCAAAACTTCAAGGTCAATTATCAGCATGAGTCTGGAAACAAGAAGAGATGGTTTGGACACTTTGACTTCAACCATCAAATTCAAAACCCCTCCCCGCTTTCATGACCCAGGCTCGGGAGTCGGTGAACCCATCCTTGTCCAGGCCAGAGTTCCAGCCCATTTCTTTCTCCTCAGGCCATGCTCCTAGATCTGGAAACAAAGCTTTTACATGTATTTATTCTTAAAAAAAAACACCCCACCAGACTTATCTTTGGATTTCGCCCTCGTCTTATTCATGTGCTCAGGCTGCAATTCCTTGCAGATGTCTGCACCCGTGCTGAAAGCTCCCGCCCGGGTCTCATCCCTGCTTGGCTCTCTGCTTGTTTTTATCCCTTCATCTTCGTGGCTTCTTGTGGTATTGCTGACAACACTAGAAAGTCTGGTTTTATTCCCTGAACCAGTATCTTCTTCAAAAAATGTTAGTTACAACACACTGAGTGAAGTCTGAAAGGCATTTCCCCGCCTGAAAGCCGAAAAGGCAATTTGCTGAACTGGCCCTGCCTTTGTAAAAATTGTTCCTGATTATGAAATAAATGCTCCTTTGAGCAACCTGGAAAGTACCAAGATAAACCCAGAAGCAAACAGACCTTCTCCAGAGCTCCACCATCAGAGAAACCCATGGCACTAGGCTGGGAATCTATGAGTTTCTCTGAGAAAGTGCAGGGATAGGTTGTATGAGAACATCACTGGCCACCTGGCTGCAGGTGCAAAGGCTCCTTCCCGTCTTTGAACACCAGGCCTGCCCTGTGCATCCCTCTCCGAACGCTTCTAACTTGGGGCACATGTTTCCTCATGTGTCCGCTCCCCCTTCCGGAGTGGGAGGGGCTCCCTGAGGTGGTGACTATGTCTCATTCACCTTCAAATCCAGGGCTGAACACAAGATAGGTGGTCAGTTCCAATTGCCAATGACTTCTAGGTTCCCAACCCTCAAAGGCCACAACGAGTCACAACAAGATTTCAGTATGTCCTCAGGTCAGCTGAGCAGGTGGGGAAGCGGGCTGCTCTGATCACCAGAAGCTTAGGGCAAGTGGCCAATGCAACACCTGGGCAAGAACGTCGAGACCCAAGAAGCTGGCGCCTCTGTCTAAAGCCCCTCTTACAGGTTGCTTTGCCCATCGCATACAAAGACGGGCAGCCACGTGGCACTTTGGTCTTAGGCATGATCAGCTATGGGAATGAGAAGGGCTACTGGAAGCTTCATCAAACAGAGTCCCCACATATGAGACTTTATGGTACCAATTTCATTGCCTAAAAACAGGAAAGCAAAGAGCATAGGCTAGACACCTTGTGGCCACCCTTTCAGCAGACTGAGCTTTTCCAATAGGAGCCAGGTCAGTACTTGGACAGGAAGCAGCTCTGGAAGGGTTCTTCCAAAACTGACGCATGCTTGGCCTGTTAGCAGACTCTGGGCCTTGAAAACCTCATGTCTCAACTAAATGCCACCTCCCCACATTCTCCCCAGGTCTCCAGGGAAGGCGGAAGCCAGCATCAGTGGTCCCGTCTAAAGAATCTTAGATGAGGATTTTCCTGTTTACAGAGTCCCTTGGACAGTTGTAGTCCTCGTCTCTCCCAGTTACTGGGCCGACCCTATTTTTTTTTTCTTGTTAAGTTAAAAAATTTCAATTAGGCACATCCCCAGTGGGGGACTTGCAGGAGGCAGCCGATCCATGATTCTCTCTCATCATGGATATTTCTATCTCACTCTTCCTTCCTCTCTGAAATCAATACAAATTTATAAATATATAAAATTTCAATTCTAATTCAATCAGGTATATTTCAGCATATTTATAAAAGGTAAAGAAAAGACTTCTAAAATATGATGTCTACTGGAGGATTAGAAAAAACTTTTGACTATGAAAAATTTTAAATATATAGAGTATAGAGTAGAATGAACCTCCACATGTCAAGTGTAAACAATTCCCCATCCACAGTCATATCTGCACTCTCACTCCACACACAAGCCAGGCTATTCTGGAGCAAAGTGTAAAGTCATATTACTTTATCCTTAAATATTTCAGTGTGAGTCCCTAAAAGACAAAGCCTCTTTAAATAAAAATAATCACAATATCATTATCACGCCTAAAGAAATGCACAATAAATCTTTCCTCTCAAGCATTTAGTCATGCTCACATTTCCCGAACGGTCTCATAATTGTTTCTGAATGGTGGTTTGTTTGAACAGGGAGCTGAGGGCCCGTTTTGCTTCGACAGTGATTATTTTATAACAGACAGAGAGGGGCTGAAAGACCAAGTGTGTGGGACACTTTGATGGTCTTAGCTAGAGTCACTAGGTGGTCCTTCCCGCCAGTAGTCACACAGTCAGCCTCAAAACACACATACACGTTATAACATGGTTTTTTCTAAAGTGCAAAAAATCTTCTGAAGTGTTAAAATCTTCCTCTATATTGAAATATTTTGAATACCACACACACACACACACACACACACACACACACACACACACACACACACTTGGTAGTCTGGTAACCACAATCAATTTCTACTCTGGGTTTGATTCTATACACACCACCCCCCATCTGTTCATTGGTTTAGGTGGCTGGTCAGCCCAATGAATGAAGGAAACGAGGGGACAGTGTTAATCTTGGTGCACGTGAGGCTCAGTGAAGACAACGCGCAGAAATCACAAGCTAAAATGACTCAAGCTCTTTCTTTTCCCTATCGTATCAGGACAACTTTCAGGCTAAATTCCTCACTTATTATTGCCGCTTCTAGCAAGGGAAGGCCACAAGGAAGCACATGTCCAGACCATGGCTGCTAAAGAGGAAGCAGAAAAAGAAGCTGGTGTTACCAGGAGACACAGTATTCCCAGATGCTGTCAGAAAGACAACAAAAGACAGAAGGAAAACATTTGGGTGTCAATGCCCGACACCTTGATAAGCCTCAAGGACTTGACCCAAGAAGGTGTCAGAGTGTGTGATACAAACATAGGCCTGATTCTTTACCATCAGGTCCCCCTCGAATGCTCTGAGGACAGAGCTGGGTGATATAATGGGAAGAACAGCAATCACTCTCAGGCTGACAAGCACATGCTCCGGAGCTGGCCTCGCTGCAGCTAACCCAGCTTCTCTCCGGGATGGCTGGTCCCCACGCCAGAAAAGAGAGAAGCTTCAGTTAGATTCCTCCGAACACCAAGGGCAGCTCAGCCTCCGGGCCCTGTGAGCCAGGAAGGGTGTGGCTCAGGCTGTAACCCAGCCAACGAGCCCCAGGCTCAGGAAGACCTGGAAGCCAGACAGCGCCTGCAGCTCTTCCTTGAAATTCCTGGCATCGAGACCCATCCAAATGGGTCTTCCTGTCACATCAGGATCCCTGGGACCAAGGAAGGCCACGCCCCCTGAGGGAAGGTGAGGAGACTGTTCTCTTCATCACGATGGCGATGCCGGGGACCTGACAGGCCTTTCATCGGCCTTGTAGGAACAGCAATGGCAATAGTGAGGAGGCACGGGGCACCCCTTGCCACTCACCTGAGGGACACGGATAAGATCCTCTCCATCTCGATTCTCCGCTTCAGCACTTCCTTCACTTGCCCTTTGTCTGGGCCCTGCTTGACCTTTTCTCGGCCAATGAGGTACAAGCACTTCGGAGTGAGAATCAGGTCGCGCTTGATGCCCTGGAAGGAGAGGCGCTTTCAGAAGGGGGTAGGCACGCCAGAGGGACAGCTGTCCAGAGAGTGGGCACCTGCTACCCCATGAGGGGAGCTGCTTTGGGTAGTGATGGGAACACTATTAATAATTATTAGGCTGACATATATGACATTAATGGTATCTGACTCTCTCTGATCACAAAAATGGCAAACTCAGCTGGATCCACCTAAGATATCGAATAACGGGTATAAAGGGACAGTTGTGGGCAAACCAATACATAAGGTGACCCTGCCAGTTATCTGCTACAGAACATTTTTCAAACAGGGATACCTCGAGTGTCTGCATATGTATTTTTTGAGCCCATGACATTTTTTCTTTTGAAAATGGATAAATTTTGCCCTAATTGGTTTGGCTCAGTGGATAGAGCATCGGCCTGTGGACTGAAGGGTCCCAGGTTCGATCCCAGTCAAGGGCACATGCCTGAATTGTGAGCTCAATTCCCAGTAGTGGAGGTGCAGTAGGCAGCCAGTCAATGATTCTCTCTCATCATTGATGTTTCTATCTCTCTCTCCCTCTCCCTTCCCTCTGAAATCAATAAAAATATATAAAAAAGAAAATGGATAAATTTTCATTTCAATAATAATCTTTAATTGAATATGAGGCCCTGGCTGCATAGCTCAGTTGGTTAGAGCATCATCCTGATATGCTAAGGTTGATGGTCAATCTCTAGCCAGGGCACAAACAAGAAGCAATCAATGAATGTATCAATAAGTGGAACAACAAATTAATGATCTTTTCATTTCTCTCTCTCTCTCTCTCTCTCTCTCTAAAGAGTCAATAAAAACATTTTTTAAAATAAAATATGAACAGGTTTTGGAATACGGGGGACACTGACCACCTTATACCCAAATATTGTTGAGAGACATGCGTACTCAAGCTTGTTCACGCGGAACAGCTGGCACCACACACGAGGTGTAAGAGATGATTTGATTTCAGCAAAACAGCATCATTCTTCTTACTAATACTGTTATTTATTTCATTTTTAAAAATCTATTTTATTGATTTTTTTTACAGAGAGGAAGGAAGAGGGAGAGAGAGCTAGAAACATCGATGAGAGAGAAACACCGACCACCTGCCTCCTACACACCCCCTACTGGGGATGTGCCCACAACCAATGTACATGCCCTTAACCGGAATCGAACCTGGGACCTTTCAGTCCGCAGACTGACGCTCTATCCACTGAGCCAAACCAGTTTCGGCTATTTCTTTCTTTCTTTTTTTTTTACCTGGCCGAAAACCAAATAAATAAATAAAAAAGCTCTTAATGGATCACGGACAATAGTGGCTTCAGATTTCACTTTTAGGGCCAAGATTTTACTAGGCAAAAGAAAATGCCTAAGGGAATAGGTTAAAACGTCAGCTGTCCCTCCAGTGGCCCCGAGAAAACTTGCTAGTCAATCCCTGGGAGATGAGTTAGAGCACTGCCATCCTGCCTGACATTCTGAATCTTTGGGCCCAACAATTCCATTCCTATAATTTTCTCTAAAAGCATCAGCAGATAGATGCACAAAGATATACATGAAAGGATGCTCACTGCACCTTTTTTTAGTGATAGTAAAAAAAAAAAAAGATTAATGAAAAGTTGATTAAAAATGTAGTATCTGCTTAATGGAATATCATGCAGCTAAACAAAATAACCTATATTGATACATGTATAATATGGAAAGTTCTCCCTGACATATTAAAACAACCAAACAACCAAACAACAACAACAATGACAAAACCCCAGAAAAATAAACCAGCATGTAATATAGATCTCATTTTTATAAAATGAAATATACAGAAATATGTCTATGTAAAAAAGTTCTAAAGGACACACACAAAATGGTAACACTGTTTCTGGATATAGGTAGCTTTTTTTCTTTTGGCTTCTCTGTATTTTCTAAATTTTTCTATAACGAGCATGTTCTGTTTTGATAATAAGAAAAGCAAAATGAGTTAGTTTTACAACTAAGGAATCTGCTTGGTGACTCGGGTGGGCAGCGTGTACCTTGAACCTCCTGTCGTACTTGGTCACTGTGTCTGCAAAATCGATCTTCTCCCTCTTGCCCACGAACTGCTGGAGTTCTGGGTGCTCCTCCATCCCGATGTAATCCCCGATGAAGTTCCTGTTGATGCTGTTTCTCCTCCTCTCCTTCTTGTTCAGCAGGAGGTCTGAGGCTGCAAGTCCATGAGGCAGAGAAGGGAGGAGGGTCAGGCCCCCGAAAAAGGAGGGACATACTCACACAGAGAAACTCTGAAGGGATGCAAGGCTTTTCACACACAACATATGACATGCGAAGGACAATAAACTTGTAACTTTCACCTAAGCTCAAACTTATTCTTGAGGTCTGTCAGAAGCATGAAACAAAATGATGGAAATACCTTCTTCCCTCATTTGGACGTATTTCTTCCGGGCCGCGAACTTCCTCCAGGATTTCTGTATCACTCGAGCATACCCATCATACTTCCTCTCTCTCATTTCCTCCAGGAGAAATAGCTGTGACCGTAAAGAAGACAAATGGGAGCCAGTTCAGAAGACCTGAGCATCACTTTTGTTCGGTTATTTCAGGGACATGTGGTTTAGTCCACGCCACACGTGGCAAGCAGCGCCTCACACTCAGGCACAGAGGAGAAGAAATGACTGGTATTAAGCACTGTTCTACCCACTTCAACCTGTAATTTCATTTACTGAACAATCAGGTCTTCTGTTTAACATTAGTTTTCACTTCATAGATAAGAAAACTAATACTCAGGAGGACTAACTTGTTCAAAGTCCCCAACCTAGCAAGTAGAAGGATCAGAATTCCAATCCAGATCCTCCTCATAGTCCACTATTTTCAATTTCCTCTCAAATAAACATAACTTCAATCACACACACACACACACACACACACACACACACACAGACACACACACACAAAAAAAAGAAAAGAAAAAGAAATGACTGGTAGGGGATGTTGTTTAACTTTTATCTACACACACACACACACACACACACACACACACACATATTTTTAACAACAACAAAAAAGGAAAATAGTTGGATCTGAGTGTATCCAGTGGGACCTTCATAAAGGTATCTGCTCATAATCTCTGTGAGAATCACATAAATGCTTCAGGATTTCTCCACTTACTCCCCCCACCTTGATCCAAAGAGGATTGAATGAGTTGGGGGAGGCTGTCAGTTCGTGCTGCAGACAGTCTCTTAGCAGGACGTCCCGGCTTTACCAGGAGCCGAGTTTGTGCTGCTGTGGAAGGAGGACTGCCCTGCGCTCAGCTCCATGGAAGTGCAGGGAGTTCTCCCAGGAGCCCCAGGGCAGAGGACAGTCGCCATGGTGACGAGAGCAGGACCAATCATGTGCTGGCTGGGACCCGGGTTCCCCAGGAGGAACCGAGGTTGTTTGGTTGAAGGGCCTGTATCAGACACTGGCAGGTCTTGAGACTCAGGCTGTGTTAACAATGAGTACTGATTGTTGCACCCCACTCAGTGGAGCTCTGGAATAATGAAGATGATAACAATGAGCTATGATATACGCATGCCTGCCATAGGTCAGGGATCATTCTAGATGCTTTATACATTTTTTTTTTTCATTCAGCCCCTCAACAACTGCACAAAGCCACCTATTTCCATTTTACAGGTGAGGACACTGGAACGCAGGCTGGGTTGGGCTGGAAAGTGCACCAAAGGCCCTCCGGCTCTGCCAGCCTCGGCTCTTCCTCCCTTTGCCACAGAAGTCCTCCTCTACAAACTTGCACTTACTCCACTCATAACACGGTGGGAAACTTTTGCATTCACCCAGGAGGTGGCTCATGTGACACTCTAGGAAAAATAATAAAATGCACCAATAAAAACCCCAAGTAAAAGAGGATGCACGGTCATTGCAAAAGTGTTCCAGAAGTAAACAAGCCTCCCTGGTTTGAAGGCAGCTGGGCCTGATTTGTTGTCTCTGTTTATCCGGGTCTATTCGCAGGAGCCACATCTACCCGCTCCTGTCACTCAGCCTCCCCTCCCCACAGCCCAGCTGAGCAACAACCACCTCTCAAAGGTGAACTACAGAGGGTGGGACGCTCCATCCGCCATCCGCAGCCCACAGGGCCACGTACAGAAGGGACGACATGGTTTCCCATGGACAGAATGTTGACAACACTGGCCTGCGGTTGCCTGTTGTGAGACTACTCGTGGGTGTTTCTTATCTTGTGTGTGTGTTGGGTTTTTGTGTAAGTCTTGATTTCTTCTTTCCCAGAACTATTCTGGGAGCGCCAGAGAAAATACACCGTGACTCAGAAAGGATGGGGAGGCAACCGATTCCCCACGTCCAATAGACTGTTTCAAAGATTAGCTGCGTTTTAGGTTCTTTTCAAAGGCCGCGTGGGTTCGAAGTCAGGGAAGTTGAAGGAAAAAAGAGAGAGAGAGAGAAAAAAATAAAAACAGAAACTCCCAATCGCAGACACATGTAACAAATAAGCAAAACAAACCCTGTGGTGCCTGATGGCTCCTGTGGGTTCTTAAAACAAATGGGCTATTTCGTATATTCAGCACATTCACTGTACAAGACAAGCAAAAAAAAATCACCAAGTGGACTTTTAAAAACCAATATTTTGTACAAACATTTGCAATGTTAGGGCTCACTGTGGGCGGATGAGTGGTGGGGAGGAGAGCGGTGGTGATGGAGTGTGTGTGTGTGTGTGTGTGTATGTTTGTGAGTGTGTGTGTGTGTGTGTATGTTTGTGTGTGTGTGCCCGTGTGTGTGTGAGCGTGAATAGATGGGAAAAAAGAGCCAAATGGTGATGATAAAGCAACTGGGAGGAAGGTAAGGAAAAGGAAAACCAAAAATAAATCTTGATTTTGGAACAAAAACCCCAAAGCTCTACTGAATCAGAAAAAAAAGAAAAAAAAGAAAAGTGTATGCAAACTATTGAGGCTGTTTTATTATAATTATACGTGAACATTGAACAAGTTGAAAAAGTAAAAGCGGGCATGAGCCCACAGAGGGGCTCTGCATTGTACTGATCAATCACCCGCCCCGTTTTGGAAAGAACAGGAACTGCTCTGTGGGTTGCCTAATGGTGCATGACACAACATTTTCATTTTATATTTGGAAATGAAGTCACTGGGAAGCTACAAATAACTCAAGAGGGGAAAATGCTACCACAAACTTTTCATAAAAGGGCTCTATTGATGTGTGCCATTTATTTATTTAATACCTTTATGGTTCATAAAGCCATTCACTCACAGCTCTTATCATCTGTGGGTGTCAGGCTGGTCCTCTGGGGCAGGCAGGACAGCAGCCGTGGCTCCCTTCCAGAGAGGAAGAAAACGCACCGCCGGACCAGGACTTGACTGAAGTCAAGTGTTCCCACAACTACCAGCACAGCAAGTTCTCGTGTTCTCAACACGGCAAGCTTCCCTTCGACTGAATGGTTAATTTTGCCACGTTCACCACAGCCCCCTGAAATGCAGTCTTGTGACTGTTCTAGGAACCTGGAGAAATGTTGATGCCAAACCTGGCTAGTTCCAGCAGCTTCTCTCCAATGTAAAAAGCAATGCTCCATTCCACCGCCCAGAGCTCACCGGGCAGAACGGAGGGGCTCTGCTCCACTGAGAATCTCTTATGGACACTCACTGGGCTCCCAGCGACCACACCCTCACCAGGAAAGATAAGTTTGTGAATTGCAAAATTGTTTGAATTCCTTACAGGCAAATACTGATTCTCTATAGACCCGGAGATTTCTCCTCCTATCTGTTCATCTCCTCTCCGTCTCTCTCCTGGTCTTCCAGATGCCCCTGCTCTCATCCCCAAGCCCTGCGCCACCTGCTAAGAGGAAGCCTGGGGCTGTTTGCTGTTAACCCAGGTGAGGACATGGGTTTAGCTAAGCCTTGTGGTGGGACAAAGAAGCCCCTTTTAGCTCAGACACTGTTGGACACGATAAACCACGAGTGGGCACCTGCCATGAGCTGTTTTTTATGCCAGGCCTCGAGGACACAAGGGCATACAAAGCAGGCAGGAGTGCTGGCCTCAAGGAGATGCCCATCTAGCATGGACAGAGACACTAAGTGAGAAAAGAAACTGTGACATGATGGTACATTTCTGTATGTGTTGAGTGCTCTGAAGGCTATGAGGGAGCAGGGGTGTGGGAATGACCCATGCTTAGACTGGGAGCGAAAGAAGACCTTGCAGGAGACTATGTTCAGGCACGAGCCCAAGGACGAGAAAAGGAGGCCAGCAGTGCTGTGGGAGGGGTCGGCGCGCACTCACAGACTCGGGCGCTTTGATGAACACTTTGCTCCTCCCGAGCTGGAACTGGTCGCTGTCCATATTGACGGACTGCAGTAGGTGGAGGACACCTTGCTTCTCATCTCCTCTCCACGCGGGCCAGGTGGCTTTGGTCAGAATGGCGTACCTGTGAGGGTAATGGGGAGAGAAGGATCAGGCCCGGACTGCATGGCCCCCAAACGCACCTGGTGTTGCTGGGTCCAGGCGATCCATTCACCACCGTTTAAGGCTTAGGGATGGATCTCGACAGCTGCAAAGTCCACTGGGTCTGGGATGTGTCCTCCTCCCTCCCTATCTGGCCATTTTCATGGTAATACTCTGCTTAAAATCTACTTTTCCTTCCCTTTCCCTCCTCCACTGCCCTCCCCGCCCTCATTCCCTTTTCCCCCTTCCTTCCGCCTTCCCTCCCTCCCTCTCTCTCTCTGTCTCTAATATATTTCTTTATTGTTTTTAGAGAGGAAGGGAGAGGGAGAGACATAGAAACATCCATGATGAGAGAGAATCATTGATTGGCTGCCTCCTGCACACCCTCCCCCCCTTGAAACCTGGGCACGTGCCCTTGGCCAGAATCAAACCTGGGACCCTCTTTTTTAAGCTCTGGGTAGGGTCTGAACCACTGGTCTGTTTAGACCTGTGGGCTTCCTTCCCAAGGTGTATCATGCATGCACATGTGGATAGTTGTGCTGGGTATTAACACATCCTTTCCCTTTAGTCACTTTCTTTTTCTCAGTGGGCAGCCTTTCTGTGGACACCTAGAAAATAACTCTATACACAAAGCCTTTTCTCTCAGCCACGGAGAGAGTGACGGTATGAAATGGTTCACGGAGAATCACATGTTGAGACAGTCAGTGGAAGACTCTGTTCTGACCAGGATCCCAGACTCACACATCTAATGGAAAACTGCATTGTCTCTGCCCATTGACACATATGGCCTGCTTTTTTTGAGTGGGAGACTAAGAATGTACTTTTTATTGAAAAGTAAATTTCCTTCCAAATTTTATTATCCTCCTAGTCTTCTCAAATAACATGAAGTATGACATCAAAAAAGCCTGCTTTTTACAATCAGGGCTGTCCATTTGTCTCTTCTAACGGGAAAGCCCACAGCAGAAGAGCTGAGAAGGGAGACACCTAGGATAGATCATCTCCATGTCTATCCTGTGTGAGCTGCAGAGGAACGTGCCATGCATGGATTCACAAAGCTAGCATGGCACCTGAGAAAGGTCGGAATCTCATAACCAAGGTGGTCATGTCACAGCTCGCTTCAGGAGCTGCTGCAAACAGTAAGACAGCCTGCTCAGGGCCCCCAGGCATTCCTGTGAGGTCAGCGTGGATTTCCTGCTCGTCCAAGAGCTGAGAGCTCACATCATTGCTTATGGAAGTCAGGTTCTCTGGCTTGTTTGTTTGTTTTTAAATATTAGGGAAGAAAGGAGGTCTTTCAGAATTGATTTCTCAAAAAAAAAAAAAATCAAGGTTAGATGCTTAAAATATTTGATATTTTGCAACAGTAATGCCAATCAGAGAGAATTTGCAAGGATCAAAGTTTTTAAGTATAGGAAAAATATTGAGGAATAAAACTATAAATGTTTTGAAATTATTATGGCAGGCTTTTCTAAATTAGGGAAAGATGGAGGAAACACTTTTCATTCACTATTTTCTGCATTGAATTGTTTTCTCTTAATTGGAAAAGAATATTTTGTAAAAATGCAGTTTTGCAAAAATGTAAATGATTATATTAGCTATGGTTTGCAACTGGCTTTGCCCCCACTCCCACCCCCTCCCTGGGATACTAGGTAATTGCCTGGATATGTTTTTGGTTGTCACAACTCGAGGAAAGGGGTACAGAGGAAGGGGGGAGCGGCGGGCGCACTATTGGCATCTAGTGGGTAGAGGTCAAGGAGGTTGTTAAACATCCTACAAAGCACAGGATGGCCCTCACAGTGAAGACTCGCCCAGCCCAAATGTCCGTAGCTGAGGCTGAGAAACTTGGGCCAAAGCTAGTGTTACTGACCTGGTAAAAAGCCTTTTATAATCAACATCTCAGCTCTTTGCCAGCAAAGGGATGCTGTTATAACAATGCAAGAGCTCTACAAATTTGTTTTCTCAGCCTCCTACATACTCCCTTCCATACAGCGCTGCTTACACAATAGGTGGAATGGCCCCTTTAATTTATAGAGACGTGGCGGTGAATTTATTCCTAGTCTAATCCACCACCAAAATGATAAAAAACTTGAATGTGAGAGGACAGAGTCAATGAGGCTTTATTGTATGAGATGATCTACCTTTTAGGTGAGCCTCTCCTGGCCTCCCACACCAATGACTGCACAGATGACTGGCAGGGCAGCCACCCCAACCTCACGGCACAGGAAACAACAGCCCAGAGGAAAATTACTTTGCTCGATGTTCTGGATTTCATACAACTAAGCTCTACTTCAGCCCAACACCCTTTGTTACATGAAGTTTGAATTAAAAATGTCTTTCACCCAGCCAGTGTGGCTTAGTGGTTGAGCATTGACCTATGAACCAGGAGGTCACGGTTTGATTCTTGGTCTGGGCACATGCCCAGGTTGCAGGCGGATTCTCTCTCATCATTGATGTTTCTCTCTTTCTCTCTCCCTCTCCCTTCCTCTCTGAAATATATATATATTTAAAAACAAAACCAAACTGAAAACCCACATTACGCTAACTGAAAGACGCCAAACACAAAGGACACATGTTGTATGACTCCATCTATATGCAATGCCCAGAACAGGCAAATCTACAGGGACAGAAAGCAGTGTCTCCTAATTGGGGGTTGACGATTAGGGAAGTGGGACTTCTTTTTGGGGTGATGAAAATGTTGTAAAGCTAACGGGGGTGATGAAGGAACAACTCTGTATAGTAAAAGCCGGAGAATTGTATACTTTTAGTGGGTGAATTGCACGGTATGTGAGTTATATTTCAATAAACCTATTTAAAACAAAGTGGCAGTTCATTACCTTTGCAGGAATTTTTTGAAGATGCGCCGATAGGCATACCCAGCTCTTCTCACTCGAATGTTTTCTTTCAGACCCAGGTATTCCACTTGGTGCTTTACCCTAGAAAGGAAACAGGGAGGCAGGGCATCACTGGACAATTCTCCCACCCGCTCTCCTACCCACCAGCCCCACAGCCCCCCACATCAAAGATGCAGGGAAACATACTACAAAGACTACAGCTTACAGAGTTCAAGTCTGAGCTCACCCTCAGGCCATAGAATATTAATTTTAAAATATTTTGTTATGAAATACAGCAATTACAGAAGAGACAGTACATAGCTATTTTAAAAGAAAGTACAAAAAGCCATATACCTATCACCCAGGTTGTGAACAAAAATACCTGTTTTTCAAAAGACAAAAGGAAAGAACTTGAATTAAATGACACTAGAGCTGCCTTTGTTATCAATATTAAGTTTGATAGTGACGCTACAGGTAATGAGATTACCCTTTTAGGTTTTTAAAATATGAGGCAAGATAGGGCATATAAAACTATTAATTTCAAATGTCTAAGTGGAAAATGTTCTAAAACGTATGTAAATTATACTTTCAGTGCAGTTTTGTAATAGTCAAGTGCTGGCAGTGTATTTTGGGAAACGGGTGCAGGGTAGGACTGGGACTACACAGGCCCTGTGCCCGTCTCTGTGCCTGGAGTCTGCTTCAGTGGGCCTGGAGTGTCTGGGTGGTGCTCGAGCATAAGAAATATGCCCCCCTCCCACCCCAGACAGCAAAGTGTCCTGGAAGCCGAGGGACAGATCCTGGACACTAGCTGCTGCTGCTTCTTCTTCTTCTTCTTTTTTTTAAGAAATATATTTTATTGATTTTTTACAAAGAGGAAGAGAGAGGGATAGAGAGTTAGAAACATCAATGAGAGTCAAACATCTCTTACTGCAGACCTCTTACTGGGGATGTGCCCACAACCAAGGTACATGCCCTTGATTGGAATCCAACCTGGGACCTTTCAGTCCACAGGCTGATGCTCTTAGTGTCCAGGCCCTAACCACTGAGCAAAACTGGTTAGGGCCTGGACACTAGCTTCTGATGGTCCCCTCTGGGGAGATAAATAGGGCCTTTGCTGAATAGTGTGCAGACTGGTTTGATGCAGACACTTGGAAATGTGAAAATGAGAACTAAAAAGTAAATTTCCTCTTTCTTTTGAGATAGATGACAGAATTGTACTGCAGCATGGAGGCATTTCTCCATTCCCCTTGTTTAGTACATTTGGGGACCACTGTACTGAGATGAAGGCGGTGGGCCCCTCAGGATCTGCTGTGCAGGAAGGGCAGCGAGCAGCATGTCTTCCCAGCAGGGGCAGGTTCCCCACAGCTGTCTCCCCAGCAAGGTTCTCACGAAACCCACCATTTCCAACAAAGCCCCACACCCACTAGGTCCCACCATGTCCCATGCTATGCAAGGTGCTAGCGATAGTGCCTGCTGGACACCTCACAGATGACACAGAGGCCAAGAGCCAGGTATACCCCTGCCACTGTGCAACTCCTCCGTGCCTCAGTTTCCACTTCTGTAAGATGGGATTAGTGATGTTGGTTCTTGCTTCCTATTTGGTACATTCCATGAGCACTTAGCCAGCTCCTGGTGTGAGCCATAAAAGCTTTTATTATTTTAATGTTGTCACAGCCACCACAGGTAAAACAGGACAGGAGAATCGAGAAAGAAAGGAAGCTTTCATAGTGAGTGGATTCTCAGAAGCTGTGACATGTGCTGGGGCTGGAAGGCTGAGCGGAATTTGTCAGGCAGAGGAGGGAAAGGCAGTGAAAACAAAGGCACAGAGATGGCGAGCCCGGGTCCTGAGTGGGAAGAGGAGGTGGGAAAATTAAGCTGGAAGAGGGCGGAGCCTGTCCTGGGAAGGATGAGGCCACACAGTGAGGGATGTTTCAAATGTTTCCTGTCTCACACCAGCATCCAGAAATGTCAGCCCCTTCAGGATAACTAACTTTACTAAATCCCTTTGTATAAAGAATTCATATCCACATTTGATTGGGGACACATATCTGCTTAAGTAAAGGGGAAAGAGTCTGATTCAGGAAAGTAATTTTCCTTTTGCCCGTGTTCCGAATCTGAAAGTCACCGCTGACCTTTCCTGCACTGAGTGAAACACGCGAGAGGCTGCCGGTTAGAGACAGTTGCTCATTTTAAGAGCTTTCCGTAAATATTGGCATCATGCCCAGCTGGTCTGGCTCAGTGGTTGGGTGTTGACCCATGAGCCCAGGCTGGTTCGTATCCCAGTCAGGGCATATGCCCAGGTTTGCAGGCTCGATCCCCAGTAGGGGGCATGCAGGAGGCAGCCAACCATGTTTCTCTCTCTCCCTCTCCCATTCTCCCTCTGAAATCAATAAAAACATATTAAAAAGAAAAGTGGCATCACCCCAAGCTTCTGAAACAGGGAATGCATCGCCCATTGATTCAAGTAGAAACATGGCTCACTGCATGTTAACCATGGCTTACTTCCACCGTCAGGAAGTTTCTCAGAGGTATTTTCTCTAACAGGACAAGCAGGCTAGTAAATGTAGTAATGCTTAAAATGTCATTAGGTTAGAACATCGTTTCCTTCGTTTTAACTTCCATCACCAGGAAATCTCTCATAGACATTCTCTCCAACAATACAATCAGTTTAGGAAATTTTGTAATGCTTAAGATTTCATGTAATCAAAGCATCCGATTCCAGTTTTGCATGTTCCTGGGTGCTGTCGCTTCCCCAGGAAACACCAGCCCGGCCGCCGATGCCCACCTGTCCCTGCGTGTCCCTGTGCTGTGCCGCTCCTCCCTCAGGGAGGCAGGGCAGTCCACGTCCTGAATGTCTTTGGCCATTAACACAAGTAGGTCAAGGCCTGAGAACCCTGCGAGGGCAGCAACTCAGAATCCAGGGCAGGCAGCTTTGCAAGAGCCAAACAAAAACACATTTTCAACAGGAGGAGAAAAATAAGCCACACCCCATCAACCTGTGGAATGAGTAACCCTGTGCACCAAGGGCTTCAGCTGACCATGTCATCTCCGCCAGCAAAGCACACTGCCCTCTCCTGGGCCCCCGCCCGTCCCACGCATGGATGAAGTGAAACCTGAACCGGGATGGGGGGACCCCAGGAAGCAGCCCTAGTGAAAATATAAATCAGCACCGGACCAACAAGTATTTCCGAGTCCTTAAAACCAGCGGACTTTTTATATGTATGTCATGAAGTTCTCTGCCGCAAGTTGAATAAGGGGTGTGATTTAAAAAAACAACAACAACAATTCAGCATGAGGAAGTTCTACGAGGATTTACTGAGTTAACTTCTCCATTTTCTGATCCTCCAATGAATCAGTTTGAATTTCACGAGACAGTAGCGTCAGGGTTGGGGAACCTCCAACCAGTAGCTATTGCAAAATCTTTATGTTAGAGGGACTTTCAGCAGAGGATCTTAAAGCTCTATGACCTTTATGAGTGGGGTAAGGGGTGGTGTGCTGGGGAGGCATTACATTTGCAGGGTGAGCGAGATTATGATTCTGTTTGTTTAAGATTATGTTTGTTGGGAAGGGCTGGAGAAGGGAAGCTGGATGAAATCTGAAGTGGGGGAGATTGGTGGACTGAAGCACCCCATTAGTCTTACCTCTAGACTCGCATAATTTATTTCCGAGGTTGCCTATGACACCACACTTCTACCGTGTGCACATGTGCATGAATGAGGTGTGTATGTGGGTGAACAGGACGGGGAGCATAGGAGTGACACGGGGACAGGCAGAGGCAGCTGGACAGACCCGGGAAACAGACCTGGGAGTGTTCACCTGTCAGCCTATAGGAGATCCCATTCTGATTGACCCTTAGTTTAAAGAGGAAGAAACTGAGGACTGAGATTAAGTGTCTCACTTAGGCCAGCACTGGGGCACAGTTCTTTGAAATCCCAATCTGGTCCTTGGCTCTCGGCCAGCTGTCCTCAAAGTATAATGCCTGGCCCACCATCACCAGCATCACCTGGGAGTGTCTTAAAAATGCACATTCTTGAACTCCATACGGGAAGCCAGCCAGGAGTCTCCCAGAGCTGAGCAGGGCTGCTGAGGACAGGACACTGTGGGTATCACTCATTCACAGGGTCACCAGGAGTCAGAGCCCACTCAATGGCACGGAACGTACCCAAAGGATGAAGTATTATCTGTCTGCCGGGGGTTAGAAAGGATCTGGCTGGCAGAGTGGGAAATGGACCTACACCCGTCTCTCAGAGGAAGTAATGAGCAGCTGTGACTTTTAATCCTGGTCTTCCTGTTCATGTTTAACTTTAAGACACTTGATACCTAAGAGTCTATCTACTTTTTTCCAAGAGAGTAAAGAAAAAAAGTATGTCCTCGTTCAGAGGACAACGGTGGGGTCCTCTGTAGTCCACGCCACCCACAAGGTCTCTCCCCAGTTCTGCCTCCCATGTTCATATGGACCTGGGTCAGGCCTCTTGGGAATGTGTGCCTGGGTCCTCGAGATGGATGCAAAAACTATTCTCTAGTTATTTTCCTACTCAACACCCTGATTCCACCTGCATAGGCCATGCCCCCACATGCCAGCTGTGGGCCGGTTAGTGAGTGGCTTTCTCAGGAGTCAGGCAAGACTGGGCTCACCGCATTCTTGTGCTCCACTCATCTTCGGGTGTGTTCCCTCTCAGGGTCACTCTGCCCACCAATGCAGTTGGGGTGGGGGGATGACAGGAGCTGGAGGGTGTCCACAGCATCCTCATGAGTAACAGTAAACGAGGGGTGGCTTTTTAACCAGCTGTTTGGACCTTCACTTTCAACCCAGAGCTAACATTCTAGGCCACATCCTGTGGGTGCCGATGAGGAGCTGAGTGTGCTAGGAATGTGTACACAGAGCCTCAGACTAATTTTAAAACTATCCTGACTCTGTGGTATGAAGGGTGTTTTTTTTTTTTTTTTTTTTTTTTTCTATCTGCCCCCAGACTAGCCAAGATAAACATTATAAATGGCTAATTCTGAACTGAATGGCACTGCTAACATTTTAGAAAAAGGCAGGGAGGGGAGAAATATATATATATAGTCTTTGTTCTGAAAAGTTAAAGATACAAGGACATGAAACACATCTGATGGTCATCTCAACGGCTCTGCTTTTGGTGGAGGACAAGAGGGGATGGGCCCAGGCCCCGGAAGCTGGCGGGGCCCTCTGAGCCCACTGCCTTCACATACCTGCTCTCCTCCCAGTCCCTGGGCTTCTTGGTTTCGTTTGGTTTTATGCAGCGGATGTAGTGAGGTGTACATTTCATCAGGGTGCTCACAAGGTCATTGGCTTGTTTCTAGAGAGGAAGAATAACATCAGTTAGAAACACGGGACTTTCTCCGAAGCAGACCAGCTTTCAAAGGAGACCCGTGAAACCGGAGAGTGGAAATATATAGCTGGAAATCAATCTTCATGACAATCTGTTCATTAGGCTTGACTCAGGTCCAACACATCTTCCTAAAGCTCTACTGACTTTTACGATGATTTTAACTCTCAAATGGGTTTGAAATTAGAATTTTGAAAGCAACTAGGCCTTTTTAGTACAGTTAATAAAATCAATCAACCAACCAACCAAACAACCGAGCAAAAATGTTCACATACAATTTTTAAAAATATATATTTTATTGATTTTTTACAGAGAGGAAGAGAGAGGGATAGAGAGTTAGAAACATCGATGAGAGAATCATCGATCAGCTGCCTCCTGCACACCCACTACTGGGGATGTGCTCGCAACCAAAGTACATGCCCTTGACCGGCATTGAACCTGGGACCTTTCAGTCTGCAGACCGACGCTCCATTCATTGAGCCAAACCGGTTTTGGCTTCACATAATATTTTTAAAATGAGAAACAAGGAAGCATGCCAGTTATTAACAAATTAAGTTATTTTTACAAGTACATTGTCTTCAATTTTTTGGGAGGAGGGGTGGAGAGGCAAACTATTTGCAAGGATTAATAATCAACACCCCCCCGCCCCCACCCCCGTATTTTCTTTTCTGGCAACACAACCAAGAAAGCATCATCTTGTAAGGAGATGGGAATTCATAGTGAACGGTGTGAGATCCCCAAAATCCCCAAACTTAGAGACCTTTTATATGCCACCCCACTCCCTTCCTCCTCACATGCCCCTTTACAGCCCTGCAGCCTCTGAGCTCTTTGTGTGGCAACTTCCACCTTCACGAAGCTCAGAGTCAACATGAAGTTGGCTCTCACCACCTACGCACTGGGGTACCCAGTGGACCTGGGTTTAAGCAGAAAAAGCCACATAATGCTGACATTGCTGATGAAGTATTTCAAGTCATAAGTATCATGAATGTAGTTTGAAGACACAGGAGCAGAGCCCACATCAGCATCCACACCATTGCCTGACACCACCACCACCACCATCACCAGCAGCACCACCACCACCACCACCACCACCACCACCATCACCACCACCATCACCAGCAGCAGCAGCACCATCACCACCACCACCACCACCACCACCACCTCCACCACCAGCGGCTAAGCTCGCCCTGAGGGTCCCAGAACGGGGAAGCCATGCAAATTCTCCCTCCAGGCAAATCAGTATGAAGAGAGAAAACCTCTGAAGGGAAATAGAGAAAAGGGGTCTCGGAAGCCAGAAAACCATTACAAAGTCAGCAGACGGGATGTGCCTGCAGTAGACAACCCTCTCTCAATTAGGGCTTTTCTGTTTTCATGGGTTCGGGGAAACCTGAAACCCATGAGAAAATCCCTTGGGTGTATTCAAAGCAAGATGCTTTGAATCAAGCTCTCTGCTCAGATGTGCGGAATGTAGCATTCTGTGGGGTGCTGGGAGCCAAGGACGAAGCTGCACAGATTACAGGGCCAAAGTCAAGCCCTGTGAGGAAGAGATGAACAGCCTCTGATCTTCTTTGTTGATATAGACAGTACTCGAGAACAGAGCTGACGGTCTTTGCAACCCATAAGGGGAAGCTGGAGAGGGACTGCTTTAACAAAGCTTTTTTTAAGTCCCCAAACGCTTTAATTTTGATTAAAAAATTTAATTAAAACTTATTTTTAAAAATATATATCTTATTGATTTTTTACAGAGAGGAAGGAAGAGGAATAGAGAGTTAGAAACATCGATCAACTGCCTCCTGCACACCCCCTATTGGGGATGTGCCTGCAAGCAAGGTACATGCCCTTGACCAGAATCGAACTGGGACCCTTGAGTCTGCAGGCTGATGCTCTAACCACTGAGCCAAACTGGATATGGCTTAATTAAAACTTTTTAATTTCAAAAAATAGCGTGGCTGACTCTTTAGTCCTAAGCATGGAATGGCCTCTTTTCTTTCCACTGTAGTGTAAGAAAACACAGGGGCAAGTGTGACAAAGTTTCGGTGCCACCTGACATAGTTCTCTCTAGCTCAAAATAGCAATGGCTAACAATACTGAATATGCATCATGGGCTAGAGACATGGATTTTCTCACTCATGCCTTACTGTTCTAAGAGTCAGCCTCTATTATTATTCTTCTTCCCATTTTTCAGATGAGAAAGTGGGGCCTTAAGTAAAGTATTGCTCAAAATGACACAATTGGTAAGCAACAAAGTTGAGGCTTGAACCCGAGTCTGTGAGCTACCAAGTCTGATTCTTAACCACAAAGCTACCCTGCCTTCCTGAGGAAGATATGGGGGAATTTAGTGTGATGTGAAAGGAAGTAAGCCAGGATTAATTAGACAGAGCCTTTGGGCTGTAGGATAACCCATTTTATCTAACAGGAACCCGTCTTAACCATTAAAATTATCCTGAAACTACTGTGAGTCAACCTTAGATGCCCCCTGAAGTGGTGAGGGGGAAGCAGGAACTGGATTTACCCTGACTCCAGGCAAAACCAGTCCACGAATCCATGAACTACTAAAGGCACTTGCCCAATAGAAGCTCCAGTCAAAATCTGCAGACAGGACAGTGAGAAAGGCTGAGGCAAAAGCTCCTTGTGTACCCTTAGCACAGACGATTAGCAAGCCTGAGTTGGGGTCCTTGCTTTGTGACTTGTAAGCTACCGGACAGATCCCTAAATTTCTCTGGGTCTCAGTTTCCCCATCTAAACACTAAGTAGGCTGCACCAGAAGATCTCTGATATCTTAATGCAGTGGTCAGCAAACTCATCAGTCAACAGAGCCAAATATCAACAGTACAACGATTGAACTTTCTTTTGAGAGCGGAAAACCGACTTCTGCGCATGGGCCACAAAGTTTCAATCGCACTGTATTTGCGTGCCGGCACGTGATATTTTGTGGAAGAGCCACACTCAAGGGGCCAAAAAGCCGCATGTGGCGCGCGAGCCACAGTTTGCTGACCACTGTCTTAATGGAAAGGTTGGAATAGGTGGTAAAAATCAACCAATCCAATCACTGCATGACACATGATGTCTTTAGAGGCCACGTGTCATTAGATGCAGCTACGGTCCAGTCCAGTTCCCTATAGCATCAATCTTTGGCTCTCATTTCAAAGTTGGTCACTTCCAGCCATGATGTAGAATTTAGTGACGCCTCAGTGTCATGCTATTAAATATAGAACACTCTTACTTATAAACAAGATAATGGGAGTGCTCACCAAACACATAGTCTGTTAATTAAATCCTATCGATCAGTTTTAAGTTTTAAAGAATTAGAATACAACAGAATGCCCAACACTGAAACTACCTTAAATTTAATTTTTCTTCCAAGGAACTCAGGGTCCCTTTAAATCCTTATATCTCAGAGATATCATGAAGACAATAGTTATTAGCAGCAAAATATGGTGGGTATGGAAGTTATAAGAAATAGAGCCATGGCTGTCTCAGAGGGGATGTAGAACACAGGGAGAGCATCTGTGGAGGCAGAGCATCGGACAGTCATAGGTCCCACAGTCCACCCAGGAGAGTATTCCTGGGGGTGAGAATACGCCTAGCACTAGTAAGTCCCTACTGGATAAACTCGCTGACTTCAGGCTGACCACCCCAGACAATAGCAATCCTTGCAAAAACCTTGGTATCCTGAACATTGTGAGTGCAGCCAGAAGGTGGCAATTTTGAGCGTTCAACTAGACAAGAACATGAAGGAAAAGGAGTCAAGTCTTCCAAGAAGAAAAAAAAGCCCTTAACCCCACCCTCCTTTTTGTAGGAAATAAGCTCCACTGAGAATGTAGAGCGCTTGAAAGTGAGCCACTGCAACCTTGATGATCCTGGCCCCGGATCTGAATGTGATAGTCTTATGACTAGCTTTTCCAGCCCAGAGCAAATCCTCATCCTTGAAGTGAAGGCATGAGTCAGAGGCTTCATGAGACATTAATATCTGGGGCCTCTGGGGAATTGCATCTGCTCTCTGCCCTCCATGCTCTGCTCCAGGGAACTCAATCCAGAGATTCCGATTTCTCCAGTTCTTTGAACAGGATTGTCCCTAATCCCAGAGGACTGTACCCTTGACTGGAATCTTCCCATGGGCGATGGGTCCTTTGTTTCAGGCAGTGTGCTAAATACCCTACATGGATTATTGAATTTAATGAACACAGTACCCTATGAGATGAATACTAAAAGCTCCAATGTACAGATAAGGCAACAAAGCTAATGCTCTTGCCGGTGCCCATGAGGCTGGGTCAATCCCGGAGGACACTGTGAGCAGGACATGTAGGACTTGGACACACAAAGACTGAGGGGGAATGGACAGTCTAGGCCAGGTGTCGGCAACCTACGGCTCCAGAGCCGCATGCGGCTCTTTTGAAGCTTCACTGCGGCTCTGACAACTTGCAAGCCTTTGTGAAAATGAAGGTAACGTCTTACAGCCCTGATATGCTGACACTGTGCACTGAGGTTCAGGAGCAAAAATCTCATTAACCAGGAAAATTAAATATTTTAATTAGCTATTAATTTGCAAAAATATATTTTACATTGTTAAGTGAAAAAGTCCTTTTTTTCTTCAGATTGACAGCTAACTGCACGATCTGGTATATAACATTAAGGTAAGAAACAATATATGCAATGTTATATTTGTTTTAAATGTCGCAATGGTTTTGAGGCTCCCAGGTTTTTTTTTCCTTCGGAAATGGGTCCAAGTGGCTCTTTATGTCTTAAAGGTTGCAGACCCCTGGTCTAGGCAGAACCCAGCATATACATAGAAGTGCTCACAACATTAAGCAGAGAAGAATAAGCATGGCCTGCAAGGAGGGGCTAGCAGAGCATAATGTAATATGAAAGAACACACATTTTGCATTTATTGTTTCAGGCAGTGTGCTCAATGCCCCACATGGATTATTGAATTTAATGAACACAGTGCCCCTTGAGATAAAGAGCTCCATGTTACAGCTAAGGCAACAGAGGCAGTGAGTCTAGGTAACTTCCAGCTCTCACACAGCAATGGAACCCTGGAACCCTGCTGTTCATCACTTGGTGATCCCATCACTTACAAAACTAGGGTGGCCTTCACTGGTATGATTTATTTTTATAAAAATATATTTTTATTGCTTTCAGAGAGGAAGAAAGAGGGAGAGTGAGAGAGAAATATCAATGATGAGAGTCACTGATTGGCTGTCTCCTAAACGCCCCCCACCAGGGACCCAGCCCGCAACCCAGGCATATGCTCTTGATCAGAATCAAACCTGGGACCCTTCAGCCCACAGGCCGATGCCCTATCCACTCAGCCAAACTGGCTAGGGCACTGGTATGATTTTTAAAAAAATGTCTTTAACTGATGTGAGAATAAACAAGTAATCTTTTCTGTCAAAGAAGGGAGTTTAGGCAACCACCATTTTGAAATGGCTAAGGTCAATGCCTCCCCTTTTTCCTTTAAATTAGTCAACTGAATAAGAATGTGAGCCTAAGCTATGACCAATCAAGAGTGAGGGACAGGTGGTGGACATCAGGAATAAGGCCCCGAGCGGACAGCCTGCTCAGAGTTGCCAGACCCTGTGTGTGAGCACACCCTCCTGCAGGAGTAAAGATATTTGCCTTGCTGCCTGGCTCCCGAGTATGGTTTGTGTTCTACCAGGACCCCTTGTTTTGCGGCTCACCTTATATCTAATAACTGATATGATTTAAAAACAGTTTAGTGACTATTTCTCAGAGAATCACATGATTAAGTGATTAAGTTTTACACAACCTTTAAATTTGTCACACATTGGCTCAGATAACAAAAGGCTCCCAAGAAACACAATAAGAATTCCCTCTGACCCTGTCCGTGTGGCTCAGCTGGTTGGGTGATGACCTGTGCACTGAAAGGTTATGGACTTGATTCCTGTGTAGGCTACATGCCTGGGGTTATGGGTTCTATCCCCTATAGGGGGTGTGCAGGAGGCAGCTGATTGATGTTTCACTCTCACACAGATGTTTCTCCCTCTCCTTTTCTCTTTCACTAAAAATCAATTAAATACACACAAACACAAAGAATTCCTGCCGAAACCGGTTTGGCTCAGTGGCTAGAGCGTCGGCCTACAGACTGAAGGGTCCCAGGTTTGATTCCGGTCAAGGGCATGGTTGTGGGCACATCCCCAGTGGGGGATGTGCAGGAGGAGGCTGATCGATGATTCTCTCTCATCAATATTTCTAACTCGCTATCCCTTTCTCTTCCTCTCTGTAAAAAATCAATAAAACATAAAAAAAGAAAGAATTCCTTCTGACTTGGAGATGCCACAGGGCCAGATATGCCTGTAATTCTCAGAAAGAAGGGGCCCCCCAAGATCCGGGGAGGTGGACGAATTGCCCCTGTTAGACCAAGCAGAATTTCAAGTACATAAAGTTCCATAATTGGTAAGTTTTGGGTTCTGGTCTGGAAAATGGTCATCAAAATTCATAATGTGGCTCTGAGTCATAAAATTTATCTCATAGTTTAATGCGAATTCTTCCAGGTTCAGTTTAAGGCTGTTTCCTCTTTGAAAGTAGCTGATTATCATCTGCTGACTGTTAAGCTCTGAGGTACTTAATATCCATCGGGGGTTTCAGTGCAGCCAAGTCAAACTCAGCTTGCATCCTGCGACCTCTGCTCAGGCAGCGACACTACTTCTGGGCATCTGTAGTCAGCCAGTTAATCACACTGACCTCATCCTGGCTCAGGGGTGCCGTTCACAACCCCTAAAAAACCCTGCCTCTTATAGGAATCTATAAAACTTCCCCGAATAGCACAAACCTTTATTTTGCTTCCGGCAGTAGTTGGGCGCCCTTTCTTGTCAGCTTGCAGATTTTCCGGAAATAAAGACTTTATAAAAGGTCTGGAAAAGGAGAAGAGAATGGATTAGCAATCAGAGGGGGCTGAAAGCCTGCTTCCTCGGGGAATGGAGAGAGGAGCATGTGACCTTGGCTACAGAAAGGCCATCTGACTCAAAGCACAAGCCATCAAGATGTGGCCCGGGGAAACAAGCAGCAGACAAAAACCAAACAGAACACAAAAGATGGAAAAAAATTCTAAAGTATAAGCATTTTGGAGTTCAAACCTGAAAGTGAATCATAAAATTCTGTCTTTTGAATCCCTCTACCTACTGGCATCAAGGTGCACCCTGACAGCAGGACACGGCACAGTGTGGGTTTGCTGAGTTAGGATCAGACAGACAGACCAGGGCTCAGGGACTTGCACACATTTCCTGGATGCAATGCAGGTCTGCTTTGCTTTAAAGCACTATCGATATATGGGATTCAGGGTTGGATAATTTTTTGTTGGGAGTCAAGGGGGGGCTGTCCCACACCCTGCAGTCTATTTCACAGCATCAGTGGCCTTTGCTTATTAGGTGCCAGCATGTCTTAGACACTGCAGTGCCCCTTCTGTCTGGCACATAGCCTGGTACACAGTAGGTGCTCAATAAATATTCACTGACTCGGTGAGTAAAGTGATTCACGTAAATGAGCAATGGGACAACTCAAATTCAATTCCTTCTAAATGGCTCTTTGGCATCTTGACTTTTCTAGAAATCCTATAATCTATTTTTAAATGGATCAGACACAATTATGGATTGTTGTAGGAAATGTGTTTAATAAACAATGGACCATGTCTACAGGATAAGAATGTACATGGAAGCATCGGTAGCTCTCACACTTGGCAGTGATTTTAGTACTGTAGACAAAACAACAACAACCCTCTAGAAGCTTGTCTGCACCTGGCTGTTATAAAATCTACCAACAGGGCTCCTGGCTCCCCTGCCCTATTAAGAGATTTTATGTGTTTTCAAATGAGAAGAAATTCAGAATCTCCAAAGTGGGGAGGTGTGAGTGCAAGGAAGTGCAGGCATGTGGAGATGAGGGCCGGGGAGGAGTGGGAGGCTGGGGGAAAGGGAAGAGAGTTAAATGGAGCAGAACACAGCTGGCCAGGGCCTGAAAAGGATACTGGTTTTTGCTTTCATTGTAATGGGGCCTTCTTTAGAAAAATTTCAGGCTTGCTGCTGTGGAGTAAGAAAGTTAACCTTGATTAAGTAACAGAGACTAACAGGGCAGCTATGACTTGGAGGCAGCTCTAAAATTGTGAATTTGGAAGACTGTGTGACACTGTACTTGCCTGGCATGTGCAGCTCTGATCATGTACGTTATGTCCCATATCTGTTACCTAGGATTTTGGAACCCTTCACAGAGGAGAGGGGAGGAAAGGACTCAGCAGGCTGGTCCTGAAAGCTCCAGCAGCTTGCAAGGAGGAAGCCTCTACTGCTTCTGACTCTAAAGCTCAGACAGGGTCTTGGGTGAAAATGGATCTCTGAGGCAATCCCTCTTGACTTGTCCCTCTCAGAATTCTGGAACCATTTCCCACAACCTTCAGGGACTCAGGTTAACTTAGGTCTTTTTAAGCCATTAAAAATATGGGTGACTACAGAAAATTATTGGGATGATGTTCCAAAAGCAAAGTATCAGAAGCAGACTATTCCACTCTTAGGGGGTCAGACATGGCCATCCCATCCCAACCCCAAGATAGCCACCTCTCCCTGATAATAGTGTTGAAGCTAGGGGTCCTGAATGGCATGTAGATGGCACTTGGAATTTGGGGGTGAGAAGTGTTTAGGGCTACAAGGGTGGGGCTGAGACTGGATAAAGAAAAGCTATTTTGAGGAACCAATTTGTCTAGTGATAACCCAGACCCAACAGCTCAAAGAAATGAAATGCAGACCACTCCACAAGTTTCATATTGAAAATCTGATCAAACCCACATCCCATGTCAGATAAGCGGAAACACACTTACAGCTCACTGCTCTGCATAAGCTCTATGAGATCCATAAAAAGCACGTCACGGTTCCTTTCACAAAAGCCATCCATGTCATAGGATACCTGTTTAAGAATGGAAGGAAATCCAATTTTATCCTTTAAGTATTTTATTGAAGAAAAAAATAGCTAAGTAGCCATGGCTATTCTTACCAAAATGTGTCTAGTTCTAGATTTCATCATGAACTGTCACACTAAAGCCGTGCATATCTTTCTTGTTAGCATCTTAGCTGGTGATGGCCTATGAATGCTGATGAATGGTGCTTGGTTGCCTATATAGCCCAAGGGATCTAGTCACAAACACTCTTTCTTCAATGGATTCATAGGCATGTCTAAGTAATAAATGTAATTCTTTCCCCTAAATTTTAGCTAAGACAGAATAAAATAAAAAACTTCCTAGGCTCATGAATCCATTGCAATGGGCCCTGTCATCCAAGGCTTTGCAATTTCTCTTACAAATGGTGTCAGAGTTGGATCAATTCAGCTAAAAAAAAACCCCAAACAAACAAAAAAACATGCTCAGGGACTCAGGCTAACAAAAGATTAGTTGGGATGAAAGGTGAGATCAGTGGATTTCCATTTCCCTATGGACTTCAAAGTCCTATGGAAATCCACTGGTTCATGATGAAATTGGGACCTTGACTTACTTATCTTTGTATCAACAGCACCCACAGAAAGCTGGTACCAGCAGGCACCTAATAATCATGTATTTTATGAGAACAAACACCAAATGTGAGCATTTGTCCCTATTTCTCTTCTCAGTGAACATGGGCAGGTAAGGAATGAAGGCTTGTGAGGGCAGCAAGAAGAAAGACAAAAGTCCATTCCTTCAGCAGTTAATATATGTACCAGGGTGATTTCGTGATTAAAAAGGACACAGTAGTGTATATTGTCTTTTGTATTACCTCCCCAAATACTTCACGGGTCCCCTGTTGTTGAATGAATGAATCCACATTGAATGAATAAAACACAGTGAGGCAGATGAAACTATATGGACACGGTTTTCAGTTGCCTCATGAGAAAACAGATGACAGACCCAGAGGCTTAAAACAGGTAGACATTGGAAAGGATAACCTCCCTCCTCCTGTTGACCTGGCTTGCTGGCCATACCTTCCCAGCATAATGGTGAATAATGAAGCCTTGGTTCCAGCTGTTGAAGTGCTCATGGTTCCCAATCTGCATCTGGAGTTTCTGCAGCAGCGTCTGGTCCGCCCCCTCGCCCACAGCGTGCATGGTGGCGCACACGTCATCCAGGATGCTCATGATCCCAGGAGGGTTCTGATGGGACCAAAAGCCAAAGCCCCAATTCAGCGACTGTTCCCAAATACATACAATGCTTATCGGGGCTTTCCTTACGGAAGGAAACAACAGCTCCCTAGATCCCAGATACCATCTTGGAAGTCATTCTTTCCCTCTGAGCAAGAATACCATTCATAACCTCAAATGGGAGTCATCACTTAGATCTAAGATGGAGGAAAAGCCCATTTTTCAAAAAATGGTTTAACTCCCTGAAATTCTATTCAAAGTCACACACAGATCATTATCTGCACAATCTTATTTGTACTAAGTTGATATATAAAAAAACCCAAAGAAAAATTAAAACATTTCCCTTTGACTCTAATTCATTTCTTTTTTCCCCCCAACATTTAAAAAAACATATAGCCGAAACCGGTTTGGCTCAGTGGATAGAACATCGGCCTGTGGACTGAAGAGTCCCAGGTTCGATTCCGGTCAAGGGCATGTACATTGGTTGCGGGCACATCCCCGGTGGGGGGTGTGCAAGCGGCAGCTGATCGATGTTTCTCTCTCATCAATGTTTTTAACTCTTTATCTCTCCCCCTTCCTCTCTGGAAAAAGAGGAATATATATATATTTCTTTATTGATTTCAGAGAGGAAGATAGAAACATCAATGATGATTCAATAAAATATATATATATTTCTTTATTGATTTCAGAGAGGAAGATAGAAACATCAATGATGAGAATCATTGATTAGCTGTCTCCTGCACTCTCCCTAGTGGGGATCTAGCCTCAACCCAGGCATGTGCCCTTGGCCGGAATTGAACCCAGTGGAATCCCTCAATCTGCAGGCCAACGCTCTATCCACTGAGCCAAACAGGCTAGGGCTCTAATTCATTTCTTAATGTTCACTTTCAGTCTATTACCCTGATAGGCATGGTTTACACAGTTCTTCAGTGTATACATTTTATCATGCTGCACTTTTTCCCCCTATCCAGCACTATTTTATAAACAATTGGCAAATTTCATATAGGCTTCATAGTAATTATTTTAATGCTCTGATATGCTGTAGTTCACTTAATGACCAAACTGTTCATGGACTTTCTGTTTCCAGCTTTATAAAAAACAAAAACGGCACTGCAGAGATCTCTGTCTACCTACATCTTTTTTTTTTAAAAATAACTTCTAGGTCTCAAGTCCTAGATAATATATGAGTGGTCTAGAGGTGGGCCAATTTTATGTCTTTATATGCACTAAGCCATCAACACAAATGATATAATTAATTCAGTAACAACTCCTGTTTGTAAATTGACATTTTACTCATGTTCCCATGTTTGTATTTACAAGAATAAAACCCTATTGCTCTATTTGCTAACATACATATATACACAAAATAAGTGTAATTTTTAAAATTCTGTGCTAACCAGAGTTGTCACCTTGCCTGTTTTAAAATAACGACACAGAGGAGAAAAAAAAAGCACTTAATGCAAATCTGTGAGCAGTGAGGATACACACCAGACCGATACTTACAACTTTGTTCTCTATGAGGTCACATACGATTTTGTTATTAAAGTACTCTATGGGCGTCCATCTTATTCCCTCTTGAACATATTCTTCCTGTAGGACAGAGAGCGGGAACTCACATGATTACCCAGTGAAGACTAGCTGACCTCCACACATATGGATATCAAAGGCACATAAATCACCATGAAAAAAACCCACATTGAAAGCCCTTTGACAACAACTTGGAACTTGATTTTTTTTTTTTTCCTCCTAAGGAGGTTAGAAAAGCAACATTTTATTGCTTGGTAATGTAATTTTTATTGAGTATGAACCATATGAAATCATTACCATACAATCATTTCTGACATTTAAAAAATGGCCGTTTAATATGATTAAACCTACAGGTCTGTTTCACAATAATCTCCAAGTTTAACGCCGGACAGCAGTGTGGATAAGCATCGAGGCACTTAAGGGGAAGGCCCCTCACTTGGGTCAGGGGCTCACCTAACTGGATGAACACCAGCACACTCTCCTGGTTCTCCTCCTTCCCCCCAAGCTTGCTTTGTTAGCATCTCTCCAGAGCTTTATAGGAGGCAGACTCTCAGGGCTCAATCTTCCAGCCTTCTTGCTTCCTCCTTCTCTAGGTGATTCCAATCAATCCCATGGCTTTAAATAGCATCTACAGGCTAGTGATCTCTGTATTAATTTCTCTAGTGTAGACCTCCCCACTGAGTTCCAGACTTATAGGCATTTGATTTTGGAATCTGCACTTGGATGTACAACAGGCCTCTCTCTCAAATGTAACCTGTTCAGCCGAGTTCTGACTCTACATTCCCCACCATTTCCCCTAACTATATCCTTCAGTAAATGGTCTCACCATTGGCCCTGTTACTCAAGCTACAAAGGCAGAAATCATCTTCGATCCTCTTTCCTTCTTGGCTTATTGCTAATTATTTTGAGTAATCATGGTGACTCAGTCTCTAACATGTATACTAACTCTGACCACTTCTCACAGTGTCACCATCCCTATTAATAGCATCATGGTCTGAGCTCCCACCATGTCTTGCAGACTCCTGCATAGTCTCCTAAGTGTTTTCTAAACGTCCATTCCTGTTTTCTTTTCCCATCTCACTCCACTCTGTAAGTCTGTAAAGTTAGAGTTTCCATTTGGCACTTGCTCAGTGAGTCAGAGAGCAGTGGAAGCAGCCATTCCCAGGTTCAACTTCATAGCATCCTTTGCTCAAAGGAGGGAGAAAATGTAGCAGATGGTCCCGGGGCAGGCAGTTTGTCTGCCTGACACTGTGAAGGACATTTCCTAAGTTAAGACTCACATCTGAATCCATTTCCCAAAGAGAAATCTACACCCTTTAAAAGAAAACAAATTAGAAGGAGAACACGATGAAGGAAGAGAGAATGCTTACCTGTTCGGCCTTTAATGTCAGTTCGATAAAAATCTGCTGTAATTTTTCATTAACAAAATTGATACAAAACTGTTCAAAGCCATTTTTCTGAAAAATAAAAAGTTACTTCCATTAATCGATTCTGCAAAATAATTGTGAAGAGATATCTTGAGTGATTGAGTGAGATGCTTCCATGTGACAAGCCTTAGCAGAAATGTTGGAGGCATCAGGAGAAAATATAGAGGAGAAACTAGTTTGGAGAGGGTGCACAAAAAACTCACAAAGGCAAAAACTGGGCCATAGTGGGGTGTTTTTCCCCCCGTTTTTTTTCCCTTCTCATTGTTTAGAATTAATCATTTCTTCAAGCCAGAGGAAATGTATCACCCTCCCCAGTCCGCAATGACTTAAACTGGTCCTACCTGGAATATTTCAAAGCCGTAGATGTCCAGAACGCCGATGTTGTATTCTTCATGGTCCTTCTCCATCGCTTTGTTGATGGACTAGGAGAAAGGAAACAGCATGGCAGTTAACTCTTTTTCCTTCACACGCAGTGGGGAAGGGAAGCAATCCTGCACACAACAAATAGACTGCACACACAGCAAATACTAGTGCCTGCTGGACACAGAGACCAAGACAGGTGACTTACAGCTTTAAAAACGTCTCAGTGCCTCATAGATAGAGCAGGCAGATAGCTCTGGTGGGGGAAGGGGGAATGTTGGAGGGTGTGGAGGGATTGAGCAAAACATAGAATAAAATAAAGAGAGATGACTCATGGACATGGACAACAGTGTGGTGATTGCAGGGTGGAGTGGAAGAGGGCATAGAGGGTATAGGTGATGGAAAAAAAAAAGAATACTATGAATAATAATAATAAAAAAGTCTCAGTGCAATGTCAAGTACTTTGGGAAACCACCAGAATCCCAGAAAACTATTATGGTAGGAGAAAAAACAATGTTTGCTTAATGATAAAAACCATTAAATTCTGGCAGAATTAGTTTTCTTCAGGAAGTCCTGAGAATTGGAAGAAAATGTCATCTTGGATGATGTAAGTAAAACCTATTTTACATAAAGAACCCCACTCAATAACCATTTAATGATCACCTAACAAATATGCCAGGGATATCAAGAAGACAATCTCTGATCCCAGGAGCTTATAGAGAGGTTGAGCCAACTACGGTTAATGATGCCAGTAATTACCATTAAAGTGATGATAATAAAAGCAGCTTACGAATATTTAACATTCACCTGTTCCAGGCTTTGCTAAGTACCTTGTATGTGTCAGGTCCTTTAATTCTCACTACAGTTCTCATACCAATAGTGGTCTCAATGCAACCCCTGAGATCACGCTGGGCAAGAGGGAAGGCCTGGGATTACATTTAAGTGGGATGATGCCTAAGTCTATGTTCTTTTTTAATTAAAAAGCATTTATTTAAAAGTCTGTGTTCTTGGTCACTGTGAGAAGAGATGTGCAATTCAACGGAACAGACTCAATGACAGGAGGGCAGTGGAGGTGAGAGGTGTTTAGTGAGGACTGCAGGGGAGGAACATAGGACAGAAATTCCTGGAGGTGGTGAGTACCTGGATGAATCTTGAGGTACCAGAGTTGTTTTCCAGGAAAAAAAAAGAGGAAAAAAGAAAAGAAAAGGAAGATAATCATCTTTTGCAAGCTAATGAGTAATAATATACAACACTTAGCCCAGTACCTGGTAAACAGTCAGTGCTTGATAACTGTCAGCTCTAATTAGTATCACTTACATGGAGCATGCACCCCCTTTACCACACACAAAACTGGAAAAAGATGGAAAGGAAATAAGGTGAAAAGCCCAGTGCTGGAAGATTCACTGAGCAGGGACAGGAGGTGTGGGTTCTATTCCTGGCTCTGCTTGCTGGATGGCCTTGGGCTATTTTACCAGTACTGGGGCCAAAGATTCCTTTGTCAGTGAAACGACGGTTTGAGCAAGTTAAAAACATGGCTAATGCTTGGCATGATTGACCTTCCCAAGCAATCATATCCACAAACTACTCACAAGGAGTACACAGAATAATTACTCTATGCTGCCCTGCCCTGCTCAACCCTAACCACACCCCATCATACAGACTTCTAGGGTCTAATGACCATGTTGCTGCCCTTGATTTGGGCTTCCTGAGGGTTCTTCCTGCCTTGCTCATATAAAAGGCAGAGGAGTAGAATACTGGATCACTGCCCAATTTCCTGGGTTGAATTCATAGGTCTATTACCTAAGAGTGGCGTGTGTGGCCTTAGGTAAGTTCATTAACCTCTCTGGGCCTCAGTTAGCTTATCTGAGTCACAGGACTGTGGTAAGAACTAAATGAGTTTTGTTCCCCCCCCCCCCCTAAAATACTTAGAACAGTATCTGGCACATAGTAAGTGCTATATAAGTGTTTGCTATTATTATTCACTCAGGCTGTGGTGATTAGCATAGATTGTCACTGGCAGTGCTACACTGCTCAAAGGCTAATTTTCAGGATCTATATGCGGTACACATAAATATGTATATATATGCAAATATTATGCAAACACACATATTAAGGGATGCCTGATATATATATGATTATTCTATAATTAAAAATATAGAATATATATATATGATTATTCTATAATTGAAAAAATCTGTGGTAGTTTTAAAATTCAGACATCCCTTGATATCTGTGGGTAAGTGGTTCCAGGACCCCCTCGAATACCGACATCCTTGGACTCAAATCCCTTATATAAAAGGGCATATAGTATTTGCATATAACCTATATATATATCCTCTCATAAACGTCAAATCATCTCTGTTACTTAAAATATCTAATACAATGTAAATGCTATATAAACAGTTGTTATGCTGTATTGCTTAGGGAATAACAACAAGCAATACACTGATCTCTTCGATCACCCACTCTGGGGGAAACCAGCTGCCATGTTGTGAGAATATTCAGGCAACTGAAAAGAAAGGACCATGCAGCAAGGACCGGAGGAGGCCTGTGAACAGCCGTGTGCATGTGTCAGCCTGGAATCAGATCCTCTAACTCCAATCAAGCCTGGGGGTGACCATCACTCCCCTCAACATCTTGGACACAACTCATCCCTGAATCAGAACCACCAAGCCAACTCACTTCCAAATGACAGAATAAATGCTTATTGTTTGAAGCTACTAAGTTTTGGACTAATTTGTGAGACAGCAATACATGACAAATACAACATCCCTAAATCTTTATGCTCAAAGTCAAAACTCCTTCATGATCCTGGGTCTCCTCCTTTCCTGGTCTTCGGTCCTGCCTCTAAAAATATAGGCTGGGGCAAAAGTAGGTTGATAGTTGTGAGTATGTGAATCACACCTTATTCCTATTTGTTAATGATTGTATTACTTTCCATACGAACAACTATACACTTACCTTTGCCCCACCCTGTATTTTGTCCATAAGAAGCTGTTACTGCATTGGTGTCTTGGTGGAGAATTCTAGAAGTAAAAGCAGGATTCACTGGCCCCAGGAGGAGAGGGTGAAAAGTGGAGGAGGAAGGTGATGGTTAGAAGGAGTGAGCCACATGAACACGAAACTCTTAGTAGTTTTTCCTCTTGACAGCCACAATAGGAAGCATCACCGACGTCAACTATGCTTACTTACATCCACTAAGAAGTCAAAAACGCGGGCGTGCAGGGCCTTGGCGAGCGCGTCCCTGGTGTAGCAGGCCTGCTCCACGTTGAGCGTCACGTGGATGGACTCCGACTTGCCTCCCCACTTGCTATCCATCTGCCGGCTCGTTAGCTTTTCTTTCAACCGGTCCTGGTTTATCCCCAGGAGATAGGCAGGGAAAGCCAAAACTATAGGAAACAAAACAAACCTCAGTTGTTTTTAAGTATGTTAACAAGGCATCTCACAAACAGGGAGGCACTTGTGTGTGTGCCTATATGCTTATGTGTGCATGGGTACTCGCGCGCGCGCACACACCCACCCACACACCCACACACACACACACACACGCACACACACACACACACACACACACACCAGCATCTTTAGTCCCCAAGAACTTTCAGGCTAGTGAAGACCATTTATGAGCAATCCCACACACATCCATCCACTTTGTTTTCCCCATTCTATTACATGAGTCAATTCCTATGATGACTGAGACTTCCAATAATACAAATCAGTTAACCAAGAAGGGTGGCATTAAACCAATCCCCCCCTACTGAGATCACAGCTGAATGCCTAAAATGGACATCTCTTCAAGCTTGCAGCAAGACAGCCGGAAGGAACTAAATCAAGCAACATTTCTTTGGCTCTAAATATTGTTTTCTTCCTCTTTGGTACAGTGTTTTCATAGCATCATTCACAAAGAGCTGGAAGCAGCTGATATCATCGAACTAATAATTACAACCAGCCACTTATTTTTTGAATAGTTAAGAGAGAGGACAGGACACAAATTGTTGAAGAAATTCTGATGACAATCTAGAGGAGGCAAAAGTAGATTGCCAAATAAAAGCTAAATGTGTGACACAGATAGTAAAGTCCTGGAGGAATTTAGAACAGAAAGATATTACTACTTGCTTGGGCGATTGAGGAAGATGGGTGGGATCTAAAAGAATGCACAGGATTGGTATAGATGCAGAGGATGAGAGAAAGGAGGATGGAATGTGTAAAGGTGAGGAGGCAGGAATGCAGGAGACATAGTTTGAGGTACAGTGAGTAGACCAGCATTGGCTACAGTTGAAGGCTAAAGTAGATGATTGAAAGGTCAGGACCAGTTCCAATAGTGGAGATCATTGGATGGTCTGAGATGGTCGGGCTGGAGTCAAGGGGACCTGGGTGGCTTTTGGAGAGTGGTGACAGAAGAAGATTTTTCTGGACAAGGCATATGAATGAAATGCAGGGTGTTGGTGTTATTCACATCACAGAGTACACCCATTCCACCCTGAGGACATGCAGTGATGTAGTATTTGGCTTTTGGGTAGAAAAGCTGAGGTTCCCAGGCTCAGCAACCCGTTTCCAGCTGTGAAACTCTGCAAGAGGAGGACTAGTGAATTAAATGGGATTCTTTTTTTCTGGTTAAAACATCCTAATGTGAATAAGTGACACCAACCATCTCTGGGCATGAAGGGATGCTGAGATTTTTCCCAATATTAATGGAAGATTTTTATGGACACAAATCAAAATTCTTAACTGGACTACGAGTCTTCTTTTTCTGCATAAAGCTTTACCAAAATTCTCTGATAATAGGACTTTGTTAAAGACCGTATCATGAGAATGCTCAAAATTACAAGCCTCCCAATAAAAAATAACGCCTGAATTTCACAGATGGTGTTAGAATGAACAGGCTGACATTTCTCAGTATACACCTTCCAACAAGATTAAGTCAGTGAATGCATTTAGGAGAAGTGTAATGCCAGAACAAGGTGTATATGATCTATGTGAGTGTTCCACAGAAATGCTCCCACTAGCAGACAGCTTCCTTTTAGAAAGGGCATGTGAATAAATCAAGTGCATTAATTTGCCAATGGCCATTTCCTTTAGTTTAGTTTTTACACTTGATCTTGGCGCAAAGGCCATGAAGGTTTTAATTTAGTTTTTTTAAATTTAAATTTATTGGGGTGACATTGGTTAATCACATTAGGTTCAATGTACAATTCAGTAATACCTCATTTGTATACTGCATTGTGTGCTCATCACTCAAAGTCTAGCCTCTCCCCATCACCATCGACATGGTAATCTTCACCTTCTTTACCCTCCTCCCACCCTTTTTTAGTTTAGTTTTGGTGTTCACATGTATGCTTAGGAACCTGGATGTGTCTTCCACTAAACAAAAACTTACCTTTGTACAGAGCAAAAACATCAGGTGCCCGTAAATCAGATTAGACACAAAGTAGGATTATTGTGAGAATCAAGAGCTGTTTACCAGAGTCTGAGGTATAAGAGGTTCACTACGGGAAGCTACAATGCTGATTGTCGCCACTGTCACCAGGCAGACAGTCAGGTACATGTGTGTTTCACTTGACATACCGGTAGTCAATGTTTTATAGTAAACTCACCAGGACCCCTCACACTTCATGGCAACGACACAGTGAACAGTTTGATACAACAAATCATTAGCCTTACTTTGTTGGTTTTGTAAATATGAGCTCCTGCCAAGCCCATAACCATGTTAACATGGGGACACAGTTCAAATATTTGGTGAAAAAGTATATCCCATTATCTTTATGACCTTAGCTAAAGAAATGTGACAAAAGAGAAGTAGTCCTTGAGATCGAACAGACACACAAAATTGTAAAGGAAACATGCCCTGCTACTTCCATGGCTCATACCTCTTCTACAGAGGGCTCAAATGAAGGATCGCAGGCACTCGAAAAACAAGGCATGGAATCTGGCCAAGATTCAGAGCCACAGGCTGAGGGAAACAGCTAAGAATTCTAGAAAGGAAATCCAGTACTGGCCTAGAAAAAAAGTCCATGCCATGTTTTTTAAGTATAACCTTTTGTGTTCTCGCATTTTCTGCAGTGGCTGCCCTGGGACTGAAATTACAGGGCTGCTCCTACTGACTTCCTTCAGGCTGTGAATTTCCATGAAGTAGCCAGGATGGTGGCTACCCTAGGGCTGCACAGGAGCAGCACCAAGCTTGGGGAAGAAGAGGAGGGAGCGGGCCTTGATTCCTTTTAAAAATGCTGATGTAACTCTGGCATAGTTCATCGGAATTATGTAGAACATAAAAGAACCTGCTAGAAAATAATGTTTTAGCACATTTTGATGCACTAACAAATTTCTGTTAGTGCATTAAAATGTCATATTTAATTTTTTCTTTTACACGTGAAGTGTAGAGAAGATAGAGAAACTGACAAGATGCAGCAAAACAAAATTCCATTTTACAAGTTTAAAAGAAACAGCAAGGTGAAAAAAATTAAAAAAATAATATTAGCCTGGCCGGTGTGGCTCAGTTGTTGAGGGTTGACTTATGAACCAGGAGATCATGGTTTGATTCCCAGTCAGGGCACATGCCCAGGTTGTTGGCTCAATCCCCAATAGGGGGCATGCAGAAGGCTACCGAACAATGAATTTCTCTCATCTTTGATGTTTCTATCTTTCTCTCCTTCTCCCTTCCTCTCAGAAACCAAACAGATCAATTTGGTATATATATACCAAACAGTTAACAGGGCCAAGGAGAGGCATGGTCACTTGTACTCCCTATTGTTGTTTATGTCACATTATTTTCCTTCAATAAAATTCTTAGGTTAATTTGGATTTAGTATCTTTTGAGCAAGACTTGTTTCCACAACATCACCTTATGCCATTGATAATGACAGGTACACATGTGCCCAAGTTGAGGTTTGGTTGACTTCTCAGCAATGTAAAGGTTTAACTCAGGAAATTCTATAGCTCCATTAGTCTAAGGTAAATGTAACAATTTAACTTGTTATTAATGGCTATTTTGCTTTAGCTCTGATGAAAATTTTACCATTTCCCCCCTTCCCTACAATAGCTAGAGCAAGTTTGCTTTCTTCCCTTATCAAAACAGAGGCTAGCATTTCCCTCTACAAATTTATTCCACTGATATACTCAGATATCAGAAAGATACCACAAACCAGGTGATTCATTTTAGTAGTGTTCGTTCATTATTGTAAAAGCAGCGGATCCAAAACTATCCTAACGTCCATCAACAGATGACGAATTCACAAAATTAAAATACTGCCAAGCAATGGAATGCTATGCAGCCACAGAAAAGGATGAAGCTCCTCAGTGAGTTGATATAAAATAACCTTCATGCTATAATGTTAAGTGCAAAGGCAACTGCAGATTATGTTTTATGTTCCCACTGAGGCACAAAGTGAGAAAAATGAGTGGGTGAGTGTAGTTGCTTTGGAACACGTGTCCCCTGAATGGAATACGAGAGACCGGAAACCTCTGGGAAAGGGAACAGGTTGGCTGAATGGGAAGTGGGGGTGGGGCTGGGAAGCTTTAACATAGCACCAATCTGAACCATGCTAAGGTCTTACCAACTGAACAGAAAACAAATTATTGGGAGGAGGGCACATTTCTTTGTTGGACTTCCTTGGTTTCCAACACAGCCTTTCCCGATCCCATCACTCCACCCCCGCCAATCAGGGCATTCCACAGGCAGCTGCCAATCCCGGGCCTCACGCAGTTGGCTGAGGAGGCTACTTCCTGGCTCAGCCACAAGGGGAAATGCTAGGTGTGCCAGAGTGGTGACTTTGTTCTTCAGCAAAAAGGGGCAGTCAAGGACTGTACCATCCACTAAGGGAAGGCTTTCACAGAAACCAAAACTGCCAATGCTAAGAGGCCATGTGTTAATGAGCTTCCTGCACGCTCCATGCATTTGTTAAATGTGAAGGGCCATCTCCACAAAGTCTAGAAACATAGTTGTTATTATTATTGCTAGGTTGTGTTTCTAGACTCTGTGGACACCCTGTCTATTTATTGTTTTCCACCCGTTCCTTCCCCCGGTGAACATAATTCATCTTGCTCTTTATCAGACAGACATCAGAAGTTAGCAGAGCTTCCCTTTTTATCACAAAAGAAAACAAAAATATAAAAAGAGCCTTATTTGGAATGGAAATCGCCTTGCTGCACTGTCAGCAATGAGTGGGATACTATTTATTACTAAGCATCTAAATTTATCATCCTTGAAGAATGCTGAGAAAGGGAGAAATTTCTTCCTGGGTGGTTAAAGGATGGAAAGTCGTCTGATGCCCAAGAGGCTACAGTCATAAGCCCTGGTGACGGTGGGGGCCTGTGCCACGCAAAACCAGTAACGTCTCTGCAGGAAGGACCTGATTCCTTCTCGAAGAGTGAAAATGGCCATGCAGGTCCTCAGGCTCTGATTATTACAGAGGTGGCCATTAAAAGTGACCATTACCAATAACAACACAATAGTCAATGTTCTTTTTTCTTTTTCTTTTCATGTTCAGAAATCCAATCTAATCCAACCCACGGGGCAAACGGAATCTCTGAGCTTTCCATATTTACATATATCCAATCACTTGCTCTTCATGACCTTTAGGTGAATGTAGACCCCAAAGATCAGTGATAGAAAAGGTTTGTATGAGGAGACAAATCTGAATTATTCGGCCATTACCCTAATCCTCATTAAAGTATTACTTTACTTTTAAACCTAGAGGTGAGATTCCAGCAGACTTCCCCAAGGTTAATGAAACGTTGAAACTAATTCACGAATGGTCTCTGGGTGACTCTGGTACAGTTAGTGTGGGAGGCAGGAAGAGAAGGGCAGGTACGCAGAAGAGGCCTGGACACTCACAGGCCCTTTAGTTCTGCCATAGCAGGACGCGCGAGACTTCTCATCTCTTCCCAAAATACCCCAGTAGAGATCTAAGCAAAGGAAAGCGGTGGGTTACTTCTGATGGAGCTAAACAACAGCTTCCCCTGCTCAACACCTGTGTGCCACAGCTACTCACACTCTTCACTCTCCACCGCAGCATAGTTGCCGACTTCTTTGAAGCTGATGTTTCCCAGGTGGAGCACGCCTGCCACAATCTGCAGCACCAGCGCCTGCTCCTCCGCGAAGATCCCGATCACGTTCATCGCATGCTGGAGGCGGGAAGAGAAATTACCCACGTGAGCTGGTCACCAACCTCAGAAGCACACAACGCAAGAGCCCTGGCTTGGATTGGATGGTGCAGTGATATGTGGCTTAGCTAGGGACGGCAGCTGGAAGTCCCGGTCAGACATTATCCCCGACCAATGCACTCTCGCACCTCTCTCTCAAGTCTCCATATCATGCATATATGTCCTTGTATAAAGCATGCAACCCTCCAGGGTAAGGGCCCAGAGAGCTGCAGGAGGAGAGGTGCACAGCTGGAATAGCAGCTGGGCACAGTCAACAAGTCTGTCTGCGTCCCTTGGTGTGATCCTGTTGCCATGTCTCTCACTCTGGGGCACCGGGCCAGCTACTCCAAATAGACGCAGAGGCTTTCCCGTCACTGGGAGGACTGAGAATAGGCTGCATTTGTGAAAGATCTCGGCAAAAATCTCCGGGAATTCAAATAATAACAGCATCAGAGGAGTCCTATTACTGAGGTCTATACAACCGAATAAAAGCAGCTGAAAGGCTGGAGTCTTTGATATCCACGCCCCAAAGGAAATGCACTCTAGGACCCTCCTCTGCATTGCTCCAGCCAGCTCCTTCGGGGCCTCCTGATGTCCCTTCTTGTCCTGGCCCCGGAAAAACATCCTGTCCTTCAAGAACACCAGCTTTCTTCAAGCTGCACCTACACATGCCCTGCAGGGTCTCCCACTGAGCTCTGGCCCTGAGCTGAGGTCCGGCCAGGCTGGTAGCAGACTCAAAGGACAGTAGCGATGCATTTCTTTGAGGCTAAATGGGTGGCCAGCCCACCCCCAGAAAGGTCTCTAACTTGACTTGTTAAGTCATTTCCCAGAGGATGTGACCTTTTGTACTATAACATTCACACCCTGTGAAGAGCTCTCTGACCTGTGAGGAGTGAGGAGAAAGTGGGTGGGGAAAAGCCTGAAGGTGTTCTAACAAACTGTCTAACCTGATTGGGGTCCTAAGAGCGCTCTGCTTTGCCTTTCTAAGGAAGCAGCACTTGTGCGAGCTGTCAGTAAACAGATGTGGTAAATGTATTATGCACAACCGTCCTTCCCTGCTAATCAGAACTCCTGTGGGGGGTGATGATGCATGCACTATTTTTGTTTGTTTGCTTGTTAATCCTCGCTGAGGATATTTTTTCCCATTGATTTTTAGAGAGAATAGAAGACACACACACACACACACACACACACACACACACACTCATCAATGTGAGAGACACATTGATTGGTTTCCCCCAACATAAGCCTCAACACATGATCGAACCTGAAACCCACTTATAAGTCCTTGAGCAGGAACTGAATCCCCCACCTTCTGTGAGCGGGACGACGCTCTTACCACCGGCCAGAGCACGTTCTCTCTCCTTTTTATTGCCCATCTCAAATCATTAAGTAGTCCGCTGGCAGCTGGGCAGGTGGCTAGTAAAGGGTGCTTACACGTGTTTTAGGAAATGGACTGCTTACAGCAGAAGGAGGTGGACATTTCATGCTGCTCTTGGCTTTGCTAACCTTCACTGCCCTTTCTACTGGTGGCAACGCCCTGCCTGCGAGCAGATCCCGCCTGGCCCCGCACCAGCACGTACCAGAGTTTCCTGAAACTCCCGCTTGTCGTCAATGTCATCCACCTTGTAGGAGCCGGAGAGGCTCAGGTAGTAGTAGTAGTCCATGCTGGTGATGCCCAGGCTCTGCTTCTGGTCGGCAGAGGCGCCCTCGATGAGCTGGAACAAGAGAGAGCGGGGTGGGAGTGATGTGGTCCGCAAAGTAGTCCAAGGCACTTCATGCTTCCTGCTGCCTCCGCCCTGCACGAGGTTGACGGGACTCTCTAGCCCTGCTTTCTGAACTGACCGGTGGTCCTCACCTCCGAAACATGACAGGGCTTCAGGATTTCTGGTGCTAGCCCAAGGTCATCTCTGCACATGCTCGTCCTTAACTGTCTGATCGGACCTGCAAGACCTGAGCAGCTCCCCTTGTCCGTTACGGGGAGCGGACTGCAGTGCTTCCGTGGTGAGATCCCGCAGGAGAGCGGAAACCAAGCCAGGTTATAGTCACTCCGTTCCTGCTCACCTGGCCTGTGGCTTTCTGCCCCCCTCCGCCCCAGCACCCCCATGCTTTCACTGAAGAGTGCATGTTAAAAAGCCACCGAAGGTCCACACTCTGGCATTCTGAAACCCCTGAAGCAAATGATTGTCCCAGGCTTTTTGTTCCACCTCTGGTATCTGCCTTAGGTCTGAGCAAGACCCTCCTAAAGGTCTCCCATCAGTGCTGTGCTGCAAATATTTAATCATCAACTCTTGGGGAGAAAATGGATTTGTAATGTCTGCCGGTTTCCATGGTGTAAATGCTCCTCCCCTGACTGATGAGCAACTATTAAGAAAATGTCTCTGAAGGAAGCGATGGAAAGAGATGCACACAGCCCAGGCAAGCCGGCCGCAGCTCCCTGCTGCCTCCAACCCAATGGGACTTAGGAAAATGGAGACAGTTCCTCTCCACACTTCTCCATTGCGGTCAAGTTCCTCGTGTCAACTCAGCAGCACATCCCCAAAATAGGGAACCTCATCTCCATTGCTGAGAAGTCCTAAGATATCAGCATGACATCAGCTTCCCTTAGTTTTCTTCCTAGTCTCTTCGAAATCTTTTTGTACCACCCTTTTCCTATCTTTCCCTTCTGTTTTTCTTTTCTTTTGTCTGAGAAAAAAAACGTTCCTTACTCTTCCTGGCTTCTTCCCACCCACATGGCACAGCCTCTCTCACTTACATCTCCCCCTCTCCCCCCCACCTCTCTTCTATCTACAAACGTGTGCTCTTGGCCTTCTTTAGAAGCATTTCATTGACTCCGTGAACTTCAAGCTGCAGACTCCACTTCTAATCACGACTTAACCATCTGCACTCTGGCCTCTCCCCTCGCCATTCTGATGAAATGACTCCTGATGCTACTTCCAGAGGCAAAGTCCAACAGCCCTTTCTTGGTCCCTAGACCCCTTCCCCATCCTTTATCCTCAAGAGCTCTGAGCATTTGATCCTAAAGCTCACTTCCGAGCTTCCTCTGGCTTCCGTGACAATGCAGGTTCCTGGCTTTCCTCCCCTGACTAACCCCCTTCTGAAGACTCTGCCCTTGCAAACTCGTTGAGGACTTGATCACACCTCTAGTGCCCTGTCCAGGCCACCACACCCGCCTGCACAGCCTCCCATCCTTGTCATCCTGCAGCCTCTTCACAGACCTCTCCTTCCCATCCCAGTCAATTCTCTCCACACGAACTTCCATCTGGCAAAGAACCAAGCTTTTGTTTGGAAGTTTTATCAACACTTTCTTGATTATTTAACTTTGTCTTCTCACCCCGACTAGAACTTACTCTCCTGTGAGGTTAGGGACATTCGTTCTGACAATTCTCTGCACACCGACTTACGCATACCATTGTGATAAATGCTCCTTGGCTTGCAGACTAGATTGTCTAAACCCGATGATTGAGAGGAAATAAGCAAATCTACATGTGGAGGAGGAATAAGGAAGTAGGAAAGAAACAATATAAAGGAAAACCTGGTAAAATATGTGAAAACTCCGCTCTCCAGGGTTCCTCATCACCACCCTAGATTTTTCCAGAAGGAAGTTGGAGATCTTTCCACCATCTGGTTCCCCACCTGGGCTGAACTGGATTTCGAAGTATTTTCCCTGCAAGAGAGTTGGGGGTTTCCTTCAGTGGTTAGTGAACAAAAACATGATGTTCCAAAGAGGTGTTAGATACAGTATATAATTCAAGGAAATTCATTAATGCTAGATACATTCTGAATTATTCCCAGTCCTGGTCTAGATTTCCTGACTTTTTTTTTTTCCCCCTTTAATCAGACAATAGCCTGTACTCTTGTCCAATCATACAATTCTGTATTGAGAACGAGAATCTGCCATTCTAGTACAACTAAATAAGGACATGTTACTCTCCTTGCCCGTTTTCCCCAGTAGGGGTTTGCTTGCTAAGCCGGAAGCTGTAAAGAATGGGACAGATAATCCCAAGGTCCCTTTGATCTAAGGAAAGTGAACTCTATCAGCCTCTAAGAAGAAATCAACTTTTCCCTCTGAAAGGCATCTTGCAGATTTTGAGCGAAAGCAATTCCTTTGACCCCTGGAGAATCTAAAATTCTTATATAAAAGAAACACTTGATTATAAAGAAGGTCCTCTCCAGCTAGTGTGGGTGTGGAGACTTTTGTTACTGTTGTGGTTACTATTTCCTTTTAAATTACTGCTAAGAGGGAACAAAGGAGAAAGAAACCTTAGCATTTAGCTGGAAAAGGTGCCCAGATTGTTAAATAAATTAATTCCTCCCCACCCCCTTTAATTAGAATTTAGCTTCTCTCTAGTCCTCAGAAAGGTCTAGAAGAGTAAAACTTAAATGAAGAAAAAGATGAGAATGTGGGTGTTAAGGAATGGTGTGGCCTAGCGTCACACAGGAAAGCATGCCCTGCCTAACTGCATTCACATGTAATATTTTAGAAATGTGTATGTGATGAATTCCACCCATTTGAGGGCTGAATCCTGCCAGGCCGCAAGTCTGTGACTAGAGCTGTAAACTCATTAAGAGCAAGAAAAGCACAGGGCATCTTTTTCCTCCTGCCCTGGCACCCAGAGCCTGCTGTGTCCCTGCGAAGTCACTTGGATTCCAGGTATCCGAGAGGCTACAAAAGGAGGCTACTCTCGAATGGCCTATTTGTCTTCATCTGAGGACTCCTCCTAATCCATCCCCAAAATAAGCTCCCAGAAGCGTCAGACACAGAGAGGGAGCACAGACCACTGCTATCTGAATGACAGTGGTTCCTGAGAAGCTCCCCTTTGCGTCCTATTGTGGCCATTCTTCTCATCTTTTCCTTTCAGCTGGTTCTGGAGGGAAGGATGTAGTGCCCATCCATGTAACCTCCATCAAGTGGGGGAGGGAATGAAACCAAACAGGACGTCACGTTTAGGAAGGGTAGACATTGTACATGGCAGACTCTCAAGTTCTCTAGAAGTGGTTCCAAACCTAGGTCGACTGTTAGAAAGACCTTGGGGGAACCTTTAAGAAATGCTAATGTGGTTTCTTCTGTGTATCTTTAGCTTCAAGACTGTTCAACTAAATGTGTCTTCAGATGGTTATCCAGGCGGATTGTTCTGTAATTTAGTTGTAATTTTGATGTGGTGCTGGGAGGAGGTGAGTGCAACTCCCTCCTACTTTATGGCCATCCTGGATCCCCTGTTCTTAATTACATAATGTTTTATGGAACGTGCATTTTGAAATGAAAATGGGACCATATTGCAAACATTATTCTTTAACCTTTTAAAAAAATTTAACAATATTCTATGGTTATCTTTTTTTTAAGTCATTATTTACAGAGAACTTAGATATTGTGCCCTAAAAGTATTGTTGGGTCACAGAAATGAACATTTTCAATTTTGATAAAGATGGTAAGTTGTTCTCCAGCAGAAATGTGTCTACTTTTAACCAATAGTGTCTTTTCTTTGTATCAATTTCCTTAATACTTGCCCACCTCAGAGACAGAAAATGATACATGGTTTTAATTTACATTTCTCTCATTATTTGTGGGAACATCTTTTGATGCCCATTAGATGTTTACTCTATGTGTAATGTGCCCGACCATATCTTTTCCATCTTTTTTTCGGAGCTTATGTAAGACATTATTTTGTAATCAGAAAAATAAAAACTGCCGGATGTTTTTGTCTTATTTTACAAAAATTGACCAATCTATCATCCTTGTCTCAGGATAAAGAATAACTTTTATTGAGAAAAAAGTCAAGAGGACTATTGATTTAATTATTTTCTGCTTTCTAAGTGAGCAAAAGAGGGGGTTGGTAGCAACAGAGTTAAGTTTGGTCAAATCCATTTTTATAAGGAAGATTGAGATTAAAAATGGAAAAAAGGTCAAGTGGAAAATATTCCCATCTTCTTTCCTATTGCATTACCTAGAAACTTCTTCAAGATAATATGACCTAGCCAATGAGAAAGGAAAAAAAAAAAAAAAAGATGGATCAACAAATAAACAAATAGTCTGAATAATATTGAACAGCAATAAAAATTAGGCCAATTCTGATATAAATCACCAGGGAAACAAACAATTACTGCATGAGCTTATAAGAATTCTCTTGAAAAATAGAAGCTTCCTTACAAAATAAAAGGGTGAGAAAGAAATCATCTGTCTCCCAAATTCCCACTTATTTATCTTAAAACCGTCCAGCATCTGCCTCAAAGATAGCTCCTTCATTGCTTTCCTGCCAGACATAGTCTATGAGCTAAGATGCAAAATCTACATAAATCAAAACCTGGGCAAATATTCAGGTTTTTGGAAATGTGGCTTTTTGTCACAGGGAATATATTTATTTTCATCCTTTCCAGTCTTCAATTCTCAGGAGATACTCAGACAGAAAAGCGTTTTCATGGGCATTTATGATAATGCTCTCGGCTGACATTTTCATTACTTTTGGAAAGTGGGCCAGTCAGGAGGCAATCTATCAGGTTAAGTCCAATCATTTTGGGGTGCTGTTATGTTACGTGAAATACATAAAACACACCAAACTATGAGGGGGGAGGCCGTCAACTCACTCTGCCTGATATAGGGTTCTCTAGAAGGTGCCAGGTCACAGTGTGTTCCCTTCATTTTCCACAGACCCAGTCTATGAGCAAGAGCAAAGCAAGAAGGCTTTGGGCTCAGCCAGCATGGCTCAGTGGTTGAGCGTCGACCTTTGAACCAGGAAGTCATGGTTTCATCCCCAGGCACATGCCCACCTTGTGGGCTCGATCCCCAATAGGGGGTGTGCAGAAGACAGCCGATAAATTAGACTCTTTCATCATTGATGGTTCTCTCTCCCCTCTCTCTCTCTCTCTTTCTCTCTCTCTCTCTGTCTCTCTCTCTCTCTCCTTCTTCTTCTCTGAAATCAATCTAAATAAATAAATAATGAATGAAAAGAAAAAGGCTTTTAAATGAATAAATGAATGAATGAAAAGAAAAAAGGCTTTAGGACCTAGCCTACTTATTACTTTGTCTGGGAAAGAAGGCCTCTTTCCTCTAGGGCACAAAGCAAACTCCTCCGGCACCATTTTCTATTTTCCTTAGGAAGGCAACTCAAGTTGAAAACTGTATTAAAAAATCACCTGATTTATATTCCCAGGTTCAAAAATAACTTCAGCTAAAGGGCGAATTGAAGCCTGACAGCATGCCGCTAGAGAAAATGAAGAAAAGATGCAAAAGGCAGCCTCCTGATGACACGTGAAAGCTCCTGTTGCCTTGGAGACACCGGACTTAAACCGGGAGTATCCACACCACCAGCCAGGCGGCATTTCCCGAACCAGGGAGGAGACTTACAAATCGGCTGGAATTGTTGTTCCGGACGGTCTTGGCGTTGCCGAAGGCCTCCAGCAGCGGGTTGGACTGCAGGATGATGTCCTTGACGTGCTGTCACAGCAAACAGATGGGGGTCAGGAAGGCACACACACCCTCCACACCGAGCAATGCCAACCGCTTCCTAAGGACCAGGGTTCCGGATGCAGCAGGGAGTGGCCTCAAGTCCACATGTTTCTGCAGGTTCAGGAGGATTTCCTCCTTCTCGACAGACTTCAACCTGTTAGTGGGTTTGTGTCTTCCAACTCTCTGGACTCAGGCAGGAGCCCTGGAGCCAGGGTCCCACCAGTGAATCAGGGTCTCCGGCTGGGGCTGCCACATCTGCTGTATTTTACCCTGCACGCCCTGGAGTGCCGTGCCGGGACTCACACAGGAAGGAGAGGAGAAAGAAGGGGCATCTCCTTGCTGCTGATTTGATTCTTGGCAATCCCTATCCCTTCTCTACCCAACTGCTCTCCCTGCCTGTTGCACCCCCATATCCATCCTCTTTACTGCGAGGGACAGGGACATTAAGGAAAATGAAACAGTTTCTCTTATTCAAGCACTGCTGTAGAATTTTGTGCTTCCCTAACTTTCATATGTGGCACTCACTTTCGGATCCTGTTAAAATGCAGATGGGGGTCTCAGAGGTCTGAGGTAGGACCCGAGAGCCTGCATTTCCAACCAGTGTCCTGGTGCCCCTGCTTCTGCCAACATGGAGTCATGTTCTGAGCAGCAAGGGCAGATGCCGGCTTGTACAGAACAATTCCTGGCCCATCAGAGGGCAAGAATTTGGGTTTCAAAGACCCTCGTTCGGTACCAGACTGAAAAGTGTGCAAAACCCCTCCCTGGGCAAGATAGCTCAGGAGACAGGAGTTGATGTTGGAGAGGTCTTTCCACAAGTGAGTCATTCCTTGTATTTCTAATTATTCACATGCTATGGTTAAACATGTTCCAGAAATAACAAGGCTTTTTGGTTTGTGCTCTGTAGCTACTGACTAATTTCAAGCCAAGAGCTCTGCTTCATTGTCCTCGTAGGAAAACAGGAAGAGAAAAGTCAACATGAAATGTCTGCAGTCTGGCCACTAAGTCATGGTCTGGAGAAAACGGGGCTGGATTAAGGCACTAACTACTAACTGACTATGTAACAGCCTAAGCGCACCCTTTGGTGCTTCCTGGACATTCAGAAGAGGAAAACCTGGAATCACATCGACCAGGGACATGTCATTAGCAATGGCACCACAGGCCAGTTCTGGGTGGTCCCTCTATGAGGTAAGTTTTAAAATTTAGAAATATTACTTCCAATCTAACTAGTCTTCTTAAAAAAAAAAACAAAAAACAAAAAAACAACAACAAAAAACCTGATGGACTTATATAAGTCTTGCTTTCCATTGTAAAATTAAATTTGTCATGTGGATCTTCCTAATCCTTTACATCTGTTTGCTAGTCAGACACACCTACACCACTTGTCAACACTCAGTTTCTCATAGGGATAGAACAAAAGAAAGGTTTCTCCTTGTCTCTTGTTTTCTTTAATCACTGACATGTTAACTGAGGATCTTTATTCATGTTTCCATCCATTCACCTATCTGTCCATCCATTCATCCACGCTTAAGATGTCCCATAGAATTTTGTGGTAAGCGTATTGGGGAAAAAAGAAAGAGCAAATTACAGCAAAGGAACAGCCCACCCACAAACCAGCATCCTGGATTCCTGTCTCCATATCAGTCTTCTAGGGAGAGGGTGGGGCTACATGAATGGAAAAAGGATGTGGACTGCACCATGCCAATCTAGTTCTGGAGCTGCACTCACTGTCCAAGATGGAAGCCATGAACCATAGGTGGCTTTGATTTGCAACATGGCATTAGTCCCAATTGAGATGTGCTGTAAAGGTTGAATACACACTGGATTCCAACAGTTTAGCACCCAAAAGAGTGTAAAATACCTCATCAATATTTTAATATTGAAATGATAATGTTTTTGATATGTTGGGTTAAATAAAATAGATTTTAAAAATTAATTTCATAAGCCTCTTTTTACAGAATATGTCACATCAAATAACTTTATATAAGTATTATTTTGCATGCATTTCAGCACATCTAAAGGATACATTCTCTTAAGCAGATTAATGAGTCAAAAGGTGCATGTGTGTAGATTTGATAAAGTTTGCTGAAATGCCCTCCAGAATGCCCTACATACACTGAGTGGCCAGATTATTATGATCTCTGAACACATAATAACCTGGCCACTCAGTGTGTGGCTTCACACACACACATACACACACACACACACACACACACACACACACACACACACACACATATGAGGCCCAGTGCATGAATTCGTGTATGGGTGGGGTCCGGCCAGCCTGGCCAGGGGGCAGAGACATGGTCTTGGCCTACCTGCTAGTTGAGGGGACAATTTGCATATTAGCCTTTTATTATATAGGATATACACTGAGTAGCCAAATTATTATGCATTTAGAGATCATAATAATCTGGCCACTCAGTGTATACTAGTTCATGCTCCTACCAGGACAGTATGAGAGGGACTATGCCCCGCTTTTTATCAATAGAATGTTTCAAACACTTCAAAAATTTTGCCATTCTGACAGTTATGGAGCCTCTTACATTTCATCTAGGACTGAGTCTCACAATGGGCTACATCACAAACTCACCTGGACTTTGGGGCCTCCTCCAGACACTCTGGAGACATAACTCATGATGTATTTGGCCGCCACTGTCTTTCCAGCACCACTTTCACCACTGAGGAAAGAAAGACAAAAATGAAGTGGGTTACACCCATAAAGTGGATTACAACCTGCTCCCCTCCCCTTTGACTCCTATTCCTGAACAAAGAAGAAAGAAATTCAGTAAAAAATGTGCAACACTGGGTGAGAAAGACAAATCATGCCAGGATCAGGTCACCTCAATGACTTAGATGAGCAATATCAACATGGTGTATGGACTAGGGTCTTAACAATTGCCATCATGCACTTGATAGACAATGAAGCATTCTAAATGCCTAGTAATAGGGGACACACTTAGGGACATTATGAAATATCAGAAGGATGGAATATTGTACAAAAATTACAACTGACGTGAAGAGAGTAAACACAGGAAAAAAACATAGGAAGTAATGTTAAGTGAAATAAATCTGCTTCAAACGATATATAAAACAGTTACAAAAATGTAAATGAAAAAGTACATAAGAAAAAAAAGACTAGAACTAACACAAAACATTAGCAGAGGTTTTGGTAAAGAAAAAGATATTGAGGGAGACTTCTTCAAGTTCATTATTTACCAAATATTTAGTAACTAAAGAAAGAAAAAGTAGGCACCCTCAGTGGCTTGAACTGATGCAAGCAACTTTGAAACTCAAGTCCTAAATTTAAATGATGAGGCAATATTAATCATATCCTGAATAACAAAAGACTACCTCCCATTTTGTGGTCTTACTGTATGGGGAAACTCTTTTGTTAACATAGTCTGTTTGACAAAATACCAGTTGCCTTTCTTCAAAATTCCCTTGAATTGATGATGACGTCAATTCAAGACATGCTTAAGTCAGTCAGATATCTCATCTTTTATTGGTGACCCTTGTGTTACCATGATAGAATGAAAGGAATCCATATCATATAAAGTGATAAAATTTAGTATAAAAAATTCAGACAATACTTTTTAGTTAGAAACATCGATGAGAGAGAAACATCGATCAGCTGCCTCTTGCACACCCCTTACTGGGGATGTGCCCACAACCAAGGTACATGCCCTTGACCAGAATCGAACCTGGGACTTTTCAGTCCACAGGCCGATGCTCTATCCACTGAGCCAACCCGGTTTCGGCCAGACAATATTTTTGTTTGCAATTGGTGATCAAGATTTTTAGGGTACAGAGCAAATGTTCTTATATGAACACCCAACCTAATGAACTGTTATCGATTACTTAGTTACTTCAGAAAAGAGGAAACATTTGTTTAGGGTACAAATCTAACCAGATGACCTTAAAAGGAAACGGAAAAATTTAATATTTCAAAACAAAACAAATAATTAAAGTAGCCATCATAGCAAAACTCAGACCTTTGTTCAATTTCCTTGAACTAATTAGAGAGGGTATGGGGAAGAATGAGGAAACCATACTCTTAGAGAACCTCAAAGGTCTGAATCCACCTAAGCAAATCATTCACATCCCAGTATTCAGCTCCGGGCTTCTGGGCCACATGACTGGAGGAAACAAACTGATATTTCATAAGGAAGATACGGTGGCAAGTAGAAAGACAGTGAGTCTGGGATGACGTGTCATACCATTTACAAAGAACATGCTTCCTCACAGCACAGATTTGGTATGTATAGCAAATATTTCAGCTCCACGAAGAAGTTATCTGTTTAAATGGCCCATATAATCAGATGATTTATATGCTAGATCCAGGGCCAAAACATACATTCTTGCTCATTGGAAGCACAGGTCTTGTCAGTAATGAAACTCCATTTTTTAACTTTGTAAATAATGTGAATGTTCAAGAATATTGGAAAGTCAAAGAGTACAATGGTATAACCACCCAATATAATATTATACAGACATTTAAAACAATTAGAAAACTATGTGATGCTGAAACCGGTTTGGCTCAGTGGATAGAGCGTCAGCTTGCGGACTGAAAGGTCCCAGGTTTGATTCCGGCCAAGGGCATGTACATTGGTTGCGGGCACATCCCCAGTAGGCGGTGTACAAGAGGCAGCTGATCGATGATTCTCTCTCATCAATGTTTCTAGCTCTCTATCCCTCTCTCTTCCTCTCTGTTAAAAAATCAATAAAATATATTAAAAAAAAAACAAAACAAAAAACAACAACTATGTGACAACATAAAGACAATGCAACCAAAGTGGCCATATAAGCAAATGATAATATATCTATATCATAATTACAACTATAGACATTGATGATAATGCCCTCAGCTGATTAGAAATGTAACAAGGAAAAAAAAATTTGACTTGGGAGCTGGTATTTAGATGACAGTATTTTAAAATATGATTTCTCTTAATGCTTACATTTTTGAGATGGGCAATTATCCATGTATTTCAGATTTTTAAAAACAAAATTTCCAGAAAAAATGGAAATTTATATCACAGAGATAACCAACAGAGATCAATTTCTTTAGATTATTATTCAACTTACTATACCATGATGAGTAAACATATTTTCATTTTAGAATTATTTATAGCAAACTCTGTGTGTGTGCGCATGTGCATGTGTGTACATGTATGTGAAAGACAGAAGGGAAAAAGAACAAATTTTACTAGAATTATGAAATAAAAGTATAGTAATCTCTCCCCTGTGTCTTAGGCTAATGATGTGGTCAGACATGAAATATTTCGTTTCTTTTGTTGGAAGCAAAAGAAAAGAATAATAATGGAAAGTAACTTGTTTTATATATTGAAATAAGTATGCCAGGTCCAATAATAGGACATCTACATTCTCGGGAATTCTGATATTTTTTCAGAAGATTCAAAATAATTAGTTCTGGCTGAACATTGTTGGGAACTTTCATTCTTTGGTTTCGATTTACAGACACTTAACAGAAAGTTTTATTGATCAGAGGCAGGTAATTTGCCCAGAATATGGTACAAAAATGGAATGTTAGATAATTACTTGAAGCTTACAGTATATACAAACATGATTATACTGGCTTTTCTGGATGGGAAAATATTGTTTCTTCCCCTGGACTAAAACCAAAGTTAAAAGAATGCGAAAGTATCAGACAAATTATATAGCACACCCAAAACTATTTGCTTTGCAATTCAGAGCAGTTAGAGCAATTTGCTTGGCTTGTGGTAATAGGCAGCCTTTCTTAATTTAATTGCCTTCTCTTGACTTCTAAAGGGAACAAAAAAAATCCTCTAGAAATGTATGTACCTTAAATTAGAACAATGCCCCCTATTTGTGCCTATATCCAGCAGATTGTCACAATCCTCAAAGTACTTAATAAATGCCCACCTTTGGGCCCCCTTCTGACCTGCTGAATCCCAGTCTCTAGGGACAGGGCCTAGCAATAGGAATTTTAAACAAAGTCCCATGATCTTGTATAGATGGCTGGGAATTAGCCAAGCAAATTTAAAACGAAGTCAAAACAGACTTCATAGGAAATATGAATTCAAATAGGAAACAATGCATTTTCTGTGTGCGTTAGCTATAGAAATGAAAACATATGCTAAAACTTCAAAGAAATGGAAAGAATGTTCTGGGAGGGGACCTATTTACAATGGCATATTAATAATTGAATTTAAGGAGCATAATTGTTTTTCTTAGTCTGAAGGTTGTTCCTCACATAAAATTAATAATGTGTTCAATTCAGTTCAACTTCTTCAAGCAAATGTAAAATATTTTAGTCAAATTTTTTTCAGAGATATCCCATAGAATAAGTGGAATCAACCATTTCAATTGTTGGAAGATTCAGCAGTCTATTCCCATCTCCCCTTCCTAGTCTCAAAATATGTCTCGTGATTCTTAACCACAGTAGCTGTTGTTCCCTTATAATTGATCAAGTTAATGTAATTGAAATGTTGTTTTTCCAACTTTGTATTCGTTTGCATGTTGGAAAGGATAAAAATGTAAAGCAAAAATTGTATGTGCATTTCTTTTTTAATAAAATATATCATTATTAATTTCAGAGAGGAATGGGGAGGGAGAGAGAGATAGAAACATCAATGACAGAGAATCATTGATCGGCTGCCTCCTCCATACCCTCTATTGGGGATTGAGCCCAAAACCTGGGCATATGTCCTGACTTGGAATTGAACCATGACCTCCTGGTTCATAGGTTGATGCTTAACTATTGAGCCCCACTGGCTGGATGTATGCACATTTCTTTACCCAACATGCATCGTCTAAGCCCAAGTTCTAGGCTGGAGGCTGGAGATGTGGCTCCTGCCCTGGAGGAGCTTGCGGCCTCCTGGGGAAGGCGAGTGCACAAATGCTGTGATGATACTGAGGCAATGGGGGCACTGTTGCAGGGACTCCAGGGGCATCTATCCCTGATTGGAGTGTGTGCAGATCAACAAGACAGTGAAGTTCTGAACATTCCCACTGGGGCCTATTCACTGAGACCCTACTGTGTGTACATAGGGACATTTTAGGATGGAACTGGACTCTTATTTCAAAAGGTAAAACCCAAGGATAAAAGAATATAAGGGTGGTTTTAACAAAATGACTTATACAAAGTGAACATGTTAGTGACTGAAAAGTAGTCCAGAAAATGAGAAACAACACCAATTCCAAAGGAGATTGATGGTTGACCACCACAGATTGCTACAGGCAAGGAAGTAAGAGGTGGGTGAAATGGGTAAAGGAGATAAAAAAAAGTACAAGTTTCCCTGCTCAGCCAGTGGGCTCTGGTTGAGCGTCAACCTATGAACTACTGGTTCGATTCCCAGTCAGGGTACATGCCCAGGTTACAGGCTCGATCCCCAGTGTGAAGCATGCAGGAGGCAGCCAATCAATGATTCTCTGTCATCACTGGTGTTTCTATCTCTCCCTCTCTGAAATCAATAAAAAAAATATATGTATATTTTAAAAGTACAAATTTCCAGTTATAAAATAAATAAGTCATGGGGATGTAATATATAGCATGTGACTACAGTAAAAAATACTGTACTGCATATCAGGAAGCTGCTAATAGAATAGATCTTAAAAGTTCTCATCCCAAGAAAATTTTTTTTTATAACTATGTGTGGTGATGGGTATTAACTAGACGTATTGTGGTGATCATTGC